TGGCTCTTGCTATGTGTTGGTTCAGCCGAATTAATTATTATGTAATCAAGTTTATTTTTCTCTTTTAGTTAATTGTCATCCGGCCAAACATTAAGCAACTTATATTGCAGTTCCATTTATCAATTAGTATATCAAAATATGTCATTGTAATTTTGCATGGCTGAAATGTAACGCTTGATTTATATATATAATAATTAATTGAATTTTCAAATAAAAAAAAAAAAGAACTTTGTCAATATAGATAGTCTAGATTTGAACTTGGGGCCACAAGGCCATGGGTGATTTTCAAATGTTTCTCCCAATATTCGAGATAGGGAAAATATTGAGTTTTTGAAGGGTTATTTTTATATAGGGTCATTGTGACATTATGTGTACGGGTAAACCGCCCCTAAAATGTCACCCACCCCTAAAACGCCACTCTTGATTGATTGGATCCCATCTTCTTAGAAAGTATCTTACCTAATCATTTGTAACTCCTAAACATAAAAAAAATATCATTCAGACCCTGCCACATCCTGAAATTGAATCTAAATGATGCCATAAGGGCATTTTTTCACTTTGTACGAATTTTTTACTTTTGAAAAAAAGCGCACAATTTTATAACTCTGGAATTCATTAATATTAACTCGGTTTTGGTCTAGGATAGTGATATTTGCATATTTTAGCAACTTTGTACATATGACTGGAGATATGGAAAGTTATACATTACTCAATATTACTACCCTCCCCTAAAATGTCACCTGGCCGCCCCCTAAAATGTAATTTTATCAGATTCTGGCTTTGAGACTACAAGCACCATAAAATGGAGGTACCAGCCTATTAAACATCATATTTAGCATCTAATGGTAATATTGGAAAGCTTTGGCAGCTCAAGGAATTAGTTTTATTTTATTAATCGCAATAAACATCCCCTAAAATGTATAATTATCCCCCCTAAAATGTCATTTTAACCTGATCAGGCTTTTCCTAAGATGCAATGCATACTCACATTTCGTTAATAGTTGATGTTAATAATTAGCAAGTGCCAAAACAAGAGCTATTATCGCACACCATGCGAACAAAATACAAATTTGACATTTTAGGGGAGAAAAAAATGACATTTCAGGGGGCATATCATAGGTTTACCATAAACTCTCAGTATTCAAGGAAATATTCTTAACGTGCTGAGAAATTTCCTGTTCAACCGGACGATATGTCTAAAAGTGAACAACTATAAAGGAGAAAAAAGAAAATGTACAATATTTGGATTACCTCAGGGGGCTGTACTATCACCTCTCCTCTTCATCCTATACATAGCAGACATGACACACAACACCCCGGAAGAAGTAAAAAGATATCTAAGCTGATACAAATTTGCTGATGACGGTACACTTATGATTTCCTTCGAGAACATCTCCGGATGCCATGAAAAAATGCAGATGGTTTGTGACCACCTCAGCAAGTGGTGCATCAAGAACAAGCTAGTAGTGAACTGTGATACGAATAAAACGGAGGCCATAATCTTGAAAACTGCAGCTTATACTGAAGAACAGAAACCTGCAAAATTATGTATTAATGGGAAAAGCATCAACTACGTCCAAAGCATAAAGGTCCTTGGGGTAATAGTAGATGAAGACCTCAATTTCAAGAAACATGCGTCTCAAAAACTTAAAGAATGCAAAAGAAAGTGGGGATTAATAACAAAATCAACTAACCGCAACTACGGTCTAAACGTTTACAGCCTCACTCTCCTCCTTAAGACAATGGTCCTCACTAAACTGTTCTACGCAGCACCTATTTGGCTTCACAAGTGTCTCAATCAATTTAAAAGCTTCTGGAATAAAATCAGTCCTGAATCCACAAAGGGAATTAACCGAACTTGCTCTCCACCTCCCACCACTGGATGTGCAACTCGAAGCTCTTTCGGTTAAATTCATGTGCAAAGTACTCACACAAGGTGACAATCTCTCAGCTACACTCTACCAAGTTGACGAAAGCAGAATACCAAGCTTTCATGTCTTAACAATGTCACTGAAAAAGTACTTCCTTTGGAAAGAAAATAAGTCACACGGAACCAGAATGATAGACCTAACGCAGCAACATTTCAAGGATCTGGCCTATTACACTCAGGCAGACATAATGAGCTACAAAAATAAGATCTGGATTGACAGCATCGAAACAAATCTGCAATGCAGAACTGTCAGTAACAACAAGGAGACCAAGATACTTGGTGTGATCACAAAGATCAAAAACAGTGGGCTGCTCCTAGACAAAAACAACTTCTTATTCGGGCACAACACGAGTAAAAATCTGGACAGCCGAATAATGGACTACATTCACGGCAGCTCACCACTCTTTGCGAATATCCAAAAGATCATGGGTGGTGACAGTGGTGAGGCCTGTCGTTTCTGCAACAGCTTCGATGATTCTCCTGTACACCAGCTCCTATTGTTACCTGCAGCTAAAAGAAGAGCTGGGTGGGGCTGACTCACATTCCTATCTAGATGAAGTGTTAACAAAAAGCAGCACACAAAAAGCATTCATTAGAAGAGTCGAATTTCTTTGGGGACAAAATGATGCTCTCCAGGATTTATCCAACTAAACTAGAAAGATCATAAAATAAAAACTCTGCAAACATCTCAGAGAAATAATACCACCGTAAAGATTAAAGACTAAAGAGGGAGGATCCTGGACCCCGAAATCCACCACTTTTCTGTACTTTCAGAGGTACCAATGTGGCAGGAAACCAGGGCTCATGCTGCCGCTGAGCTAAAGCAGTAGAGGGGATGGCGGCTTCTCTAGGATCTAACACGTCCTGAAGCAGACCAACACTATGTCCCAACACACTGGTGTTGGGATGTCTGCCCCCGGTGCCTGTCCGGGTCAATAAAGCAGTCAAGCATCATGTATGTTATGTTGAGCATTCTCAACCAACAAATGTGGGAACTCCCACAAAACACCAAAACAGATCTAAAGAGACACTAAACAACATTGGAAAAATAGACTGCAATTTGTTTATATAATTTATAAAGCGTATATTATTGCCCACGTTAAGGGGCCTGTTAATAATTTATTAAATTATTAGCTATTTTAGATTTAATAATAATAATAATTACCATAAACTAGTAAGTACCAAAAACCGTAGTTTTTGACATTCAATTTCGCTAAAAGCAGTCAAATCTAGTCTATAGAGAAGGTCAGATCAATTACTGGGTTGGCTTAGTTAACTACAGGTCACTAAAATTGCCAAAATGCAGGATGATGTTAAAAATCCCAAAAAATGCAATTAAAACATGCAATTTGCACTAGGTTAAAATCACATTGAATCCATTTCTTTTGTGCCAATTGTTAGTTTATAACTAGATAATCTAACTACAGGTTTAAATTTTGTTGACTGAGTTACTGTTTTGCCGTAAGTTCTGGGTATTCAAAAAAAAGTCCCCAAAATGTCACAAAAAGTAAATTGACTAAATTCCACCATTTTTTTTTCAACAGAGAGAGAAATTCTGGTCGACACCTCTCAGAAATAGGTTATATTTGTCCCAGAAGTGATTAAAATTAATAATTGAGCAACATTCTGAGTGCTACACAACATGTTTTAGCTGACGTTCTAGGGGTGGTGCATGTGACATTTTAGGGGGTGATTACGGTTTTGAGGTACTTCCTTTAGTGAGTGAATGTTTTCAAGTAGCTTAATGTTTTAATAAGACAAAACAAATAGTACTAGTGACAAAAGATAAATCAGGCCTCCTGTACATTTTGTAATTATCACACATATAGAGTTGACATTTTAGGGGTGGTGTTTTAAAAGTGACTCCATTTCAACGTCAAAAAAATTGTACCTGATTTTATTTTCAAATCTCCAAATCTTCCTGGCAGGCTAGAAAAAGGTTTAAATATTATTCCTAGACACTTCAGAACCCTGTAAATTTAGCCCTAACTCGGCAATCTGGGCCCAAAAAACAGGTGACGTTTTAGGGGCGGTTTACCCGTATACTGTTTCCTAAAATATTTCCGCATATAATCAAATAAAGCATAATGAATATATATGCACCAGTATCCCTAAGTTACAACGTCTTTGTACCTAACATTAAAGTTACATTTAAAAGCTGTTGTGTAAATATTTACGATAATGTGTGATGATGTTTGTTTCATTATTATTTGACTTAATTTGATTTGATAAGGATAGCTAGCAGTCAAGCTTTCTTAAAATAGAGTTTTTTTGTTGTAATTTTCTCCTCAAAGCTATCCCAGTTGTTAAAAGCGAATACGTATTGCCACTGTTGGCCCCTCTTCATTCTACCATCAATGACGGTTTGCCCACTCATTTGGCTGAGTTGTCCACAAGAGATTGTGTAGTTTCAATGAAACCCTTGGCCCATCCCATGGCCAAGCTTGAAATAAACCTGCAACCTTCTGATTGAAAATTATTGAATCCACCACTTTAACCAGTGGATTCCTAAACAAGAAATCAGAAGCTCCAGCTCCCTGCAGACCAACATGAACAGTTTAATGATATTTGAAACCTAGATAGCCTAGCAATTGTCTCATTCATTTGAGTTAAAGAGGTTGCATTGTGTTTGGTAATGCTAACTAGTACTGTTTAATGTGAAAAATGACAACACGCATTTCAAAATGCAGCTTTTTCTAAGATTTTAGTGTTGTAAAGGCCAGGTCAACAAAACACTGGTGTTTATCCTCTCCTCTGTGCCATTCTTTTAAATCAAATAAAATGATTTTGACACAAGATTAAACCTTTGATATTGATTCTACGGTTCATTCAGTGTCCAGTCTACATTATGTTTCTGGCTGCACCAATGGTGTAACTTCAAAGCATCATTGGAAACAACAGTTGGAAATATTTACACAACCTCTTATCCCAGTTTGAGTCCCTGGTTACCTTAATATTGAAATAGTGAAAGAAAATATAAAATTCTGGCATTTTGGTTCGAAATATTCATATTATATGCAATTCTGCGATTTCCAAAAAATTAAATCATTTCTAATAACGGAAACATTTTTTCAGGATCAGGATGTTATGGGTTCTCAAAGATTTCATGATTCACTGCCTAAGACGACTGTAGAGATCGACCCGAAAACAATTCAGATTCTTAATGTAATAGACAGAGGAAGCTATGGGACAGTGAAGACAGCATTTTGGGATGACAAAGAGGTTGCTGTCAAGGTTTTTGAAACTCAAGGGGAAATTGAAGCATTCCGAACTGAAGTAGAAGTATTAGGGTCAGTATCTCACAAAAATATAATTCATCTCTATGGGATGAGTGTGGGTGTTCAATGTTTGATTGTAATGGAACTTGCAACACAGGGCTCGCTGTACAATTTACTTCATAAGAGAATTGATATAGGGTACGGCAAGGAGCATATGATAGTGTGGTGGACTGAAATAACTGAAGCAATATCGTACCTTCACAACCGTAGTCCAAAGCCAATAATTCACAGGGACTTGAAAAGCTCGAATATCCTTCTCAAGGATGACCATATAAAGATTTGTGATTTTGGTACAGCTTGTGACATTCACACTTTGATGTCAAATGCCAAAGGAACAGTTGCTTGGATGGCTCCTGAAGTTATTACTACCACAGACTACAATGAAAAATGTGATGTTTATAGTTTTGGAATTGTAATGTGGGAAGTACTCATGAGAAGGGTCCCGTTCAAAGGACTAAATTCGTTTCAAGTAATGCAAACAGTTGACAGGAAGAAGAGACCACCTCTGCCTAAAACAGTTCCAACATCAATCAGAACAATGATTCAACTATGCTGGTCCCATGATCCGACTTCTCGCCCCTCATTCACCTCTCTTTGCAAGTTGTTGAATAAAATATGGGATTCCATCAGTGATTTAGAGCTGGAAGCTCAACCTCCAGCTCCAAACCCTGCTCCCACCACTCCCGAAGCTGGACCTTCACGAGCTGGAAATATTGGACAACCATCACCTCCTCGCTTTCCCATTACCCCCGGCTCCTGTAGCCCCTCTCCCACAGTTGCTACATACCCTCCTGTGGGCCAATCGACCCCAAAACTTAAAGATGATGAGGATGCACTGATAAGGCCTTATAGGCACATTCAAACCAACGTTGAAAGTTGTGATATCCATAAGCAACACTTACAGACTTACGAGGAGCTTAAAATGTTAAGAATTCACTTGAACAGAAAAAAGGGGGTCATCAAGTCGTTGAAGGACAAATATAGGGATTTACAGAATCAATCTCAGGGGTTAGAATCTTCCAATGAAGGGAAGCAACTAAGGTTATCAATATTGCGAAGTGAGACTGAATCATTGAACCAACAGCTCAATCATATCCTTGATAATCCATGACACGTTTTGATTTGCGAGCTCTTTATGTTTCAATTATGAGTTTATACCAGGTGGTAAGTATGGTTTGTGTAAATTCATTTGATTTCTTAATCGGTTTCAAGTCTGTAAATTCATATGTCAGTATTTACGTTTACAATGAAAAGTTTTAACCTTTTTAAACAAAATTCTGCCTTAACATGCAGGGTTAAAATAGTGTGAACTTTTGAGTTCAGTGATGAAATATTAGTTGGTATTTAATGTTACGATATCATGCCTTCGAATTGATTTTCAGGGGTAAGCTGTATTTCAAGTTATAGTTATTGTGACAAAAAGCATATTGTTAAATGGACATATGTTATAAAACAGACGATTTATGGGAGTTAAGGTTTACAAAAATGTGGGAAATAAGGGTTTCGAAAAGGATAGAATTGGGGAAAAATATAAACATTGACCAACAAAAAATGAATCACAGCTCGTACGTATTGAGCCCTATAAATTGTATCTCACTCATTGAACGCTGTGTAGATGAAAGAATGAAATGATAAACATCTGAACATTTAACCTAAAAGTCAATACACGGCTGGTTGTTCCAAAAATCTGTCCTTTTTGTCTCAAAACATCGTCCAGGAGGTGTAATTTAAACGTTAAATTTATTGACCTTAGTCGGTAGTGGTATTACATTTACATGGTGGATCACTACGTCAGCAATAATACAGAGTAAATAGTACTGTAATAGTACAGTGTTTTGTGCGCAACGATGTTTTTATTCGCAGTTAAAATATGTAACTTGGAATATTTTGAAGTGATTATCGATGTCAAATAAGTTTAACCTATTAGGGACGATAGGGTCGTTTTTATGACCCACCTTTTCTAGACGAAAAACCAAATTACTAAACGCTATAACGAATCTATAGCATATATACTCAAAATTTATTGGGCTTCATTATACGTAGCCCAATAAATTTTGAGCATATATGCTATAGATTCGTTATAGCGTTTAGTAATTTGGTTTTACGTCTAGAAAAGGTGGGTCATAAAAACGACCCTATCGTCCCTAATAGGTTAAAGGTTACAGGAAAATGTCAGATCGGACGACTGTTTGTGCTGCATGATCAATTAATGTTTCTATTTTGATGGTTCTTTTCAGTAAAAGCTTACCCGCTAACCATGGGGCGTCGTGTAAGTTAAAGTGGATGTGTGTGTGTGTGGGCTTGAATTCTGTAGTGATTATTTGTATTGAAGATTTCGCTTTAGCTGCAATTGCATGTTTTTGATGTTGTTTGGTGTAGTTTTCGAGGAGTTATTAGATTTTGTTTGATGAAATATTTGTTGAAAAACTTGTTGAAGAGCAAAATTTCGTAATTAAAACTAATATTTTAGAGTTAAAATGTTCACCGTTCAGAAATCTGTGTAAGATATAGCTTATCACAGGAGGAAGTTTTTTACTGTCTGTATCTTGCCAGCATATTTTCAAGTAGACTTGATCACCATCCGGAGGGAGGTGATCCATTTCTCCTCAATATATCAAGAACTCCGTGGTATAAAGTGTTTGTAAAGGACGTGTGTATAAAGTATTAAGTATGAATTTTAAAACAACGTACAGGTATTATCTAAAATGTTGCTTTCACCTTCCGCCAGGTAATCAAGTCTGTAGTGTGATTTGTATGCTTATCACAGCACAAAGCTCCCAAATAGAAGTATTATTTTTCAGTTTACATTTTGAATGCAATTATATTTGGATCATGTCCAGAAGCTGCAATATTAGTTTTTCATAATTTGGACAACCCTCTTACCTTGTTGGGAGATGTGTGCTTTAGCTTCATTTAGTTGACTAAAATAATATCAATTTGACAGCTTGTTTAGTGACCTCATGTTCCCGTCACTGTACTACTTAACGCCAGTAATTCTTCCTTGGGCGGTGGTCTTCTTAAATACAACCATTTCCGTTCATATTTCAGTTCGCCCAGATTTTTTGTTATTGGCTACCTAGTTGATATTTGCCATTTATATAGTTTCTTATCAATACTTGTGTCGTTTATTTGGTGCTCCGGGCTCAACATTTACCAAACAATTCGCTGAAAAGAGCCTAGATTAAATTTGTAATAACCAACCATACATGCATTGTGTGGTTCAGTACGTCAATTAAAACTTAATTGTTATTTTTAATCAGTAAGAACCTTGGTTGGCAATTATAAACCATAATATTAACATCAAAAATAAAAGCAACAAAAAATATCGAGATAATATCAATAAATCGGATACTATCTGAACTAACAAGGTTCCGTTATCTCTCGCAAGGCAAGGTGATAAGAAGGCTATGTGACGTTTTTTAGGGTGATGAGCGGGTGCTGAACTACTTGAACACATGGTTAAATCCTTTATCTGCGGGGTGGTTGAAGGTATTTTGTTAGTTAAGATGAATGTTTTGTTAGTTAGGGAAAATTATCTTTTATATATTATGTTTTAAGACCTGTTGAATCATACTCTATACTGACCCTTATTTAACTGCGTTCGCGTTCACAGCACTTTTCTAGCTGTTTTAACACGTGGCTAATCACGTGGCTAATCACATGACTTACAATACAAATTTGCTATCTTCAGGGTTTTATGGGAAGCCATGGACGATGAAACAGCGTGCAGACCTCTTCCCTAGGTGAACATCTGTCTTTTATTAGAGGGGGCGGGGGAGGGGGGAGGAGTGTAAATTGTGAGGGGGAGGGGGAGGAGTGTAAACTGTGAGGGGGAGGGGGAGGAGTGTAAACCGTGAGGGGGAGGGGGGAGGAGTCGCACGCGAGAACTGTGAGCGGGAGGGGCTATCTTTTAGCACGTGTGATTAACCAATCAGCTGGCAAAATCGACCAATTGAATTTCAGAGTCGCTTTCACGTGTCAAAACACATTTGTGCCACCTCTCATGATTGTCCTCATCTCTTATAATTTATTTTTCAATAAAGTTTCATAATAATACAAAAGGGAATGCCAGATTGCTTCAGTTTAGTACACAGCTTTACCAAAATCGTGCAGTTCCTTCTTAGATAACTGCTAATTTAGGAGATCTTTAATTTTACGTCATAATCAAAGACGTCATAAACAGTTTTTTAAGTGATCTGAAGCGAATTTGTCCTTAAAAGTCATTAAAATATTATATAGTTATGGGCGGGGTCGTATAGAGCAAGTCCACTCTTGCCAACATTTAGGGGTGTTTAATATTTTGCTCCCGCCCTCTCCTTATAAGTCGTCAAGTCAGTTTTAATAAGTGATTTACCCTCAGATATTGTTATCAAATCTTGCGTGAACATATATTCTACAAATCATCTATCGCAGGGTAGCAAATTTCGGCATGGACACTTACATGTATGCCCCAAAGGATGACTTCAAACATCGGTCCGCATGGCGCATACCCTACTCGCCCAACGAATCCGAGCAACTGCGGCGACTGATCGAGGAGTCAAAACTTCATAACATTAGGTTTATTTACGCCCTGTCCCCTGGACTTGACATGATATTTAGTTCAGAGAAAGAGATGAAGTTACTCATGGATAAGCTAGATCAAGTAAGGGACTTGGTGCTTGAAATATATGTAAACAAAATACATTTCAGTCAATTGAATGGGTGGAGTACATGTTACTAAATCTTGGCAAATCCTCAGACTACACATTTACGACAAATGATTAAATCTTAATTAATTGATTAATTAATTGATTACCAAGTTAATTAAATTAAGTAACTAAGTAAAGCTTTGTTTATTTAGGTAAGAGGTCTGGGGTGTGACTCGTTTGCCCTGTTATTTGATGACATAGAGCCGCAGTTGCACCCCGCAGATGAGGTGCGGTTCCAGACTCCCGCACACGCGCAAGCGTACGTGACTAACGAGGTCTACCACCACATGAGGGCTCCTAGCACATTCCTCTTCTGTCCCACTGGTAACAGAATCTTGTTTTAATATTGTATTAAATCACTTGCATGTACTTTTTTAGTGACAGTTTCCGGCTAATCTGACCTCAGAGTGTTGTCACATGAAATTGGTGTCTGGCGTCACTGAAAAACGAAATACTAAACTCAATGACCATATATGGTCATAAAATGCGAATATAGTTGTCTATAAAATATATGGTGTTTGAAACTACCATTTCCAGAGTACTGCGAGGCTTACTGTCAACCCTCCTTCTACCAGTCTTCCTATCTTCCTATCATTGGAGCGGAACTTAATCTTGGGATTGACATTCTGTGGACAGGTTAATTAACTATTAATTGAAGCATCGACGAAATTTCGATCATGTTCTGACTACTGAGATGCATTACATGTTGACATACGTCAAATTGTATCAGTTTAAATAATACATAAATAAAAATCCGTTTGCTATATTTAGTTTTTTAAATCATCAAACATTTTGATACTAACTCAGTATGTTTTCACAGGACCAAGAGTAATAAGTAAACACATCTCCTGTGCATCTATCCGAGCAGTGAACAAGGTTCTAAAACGTAAGGTTATAATATGGGACAATCTCCACGCAAATGACTACGACCAACGGCGCATGTTCCTGGGCCCGTACTCTGGGCGCTCGCCGGCACTCGTACCTCTGCTATCTGGGGTCCTGACTAACCCTAATTGTGAATACGAGGTCAGACTTCTCCTCATTTTTGAGTTGTTTTATTTCTTTGAGTTTTGAGTAAAGGTTTGCTCTGCAGACGTCCCCATTTAATTATGGGGATTATGTTTCGATTCATTTCGTGGAATTGAATTTTTTTTTTCTGAGAATCTCACAATTATATTATTACACTGACCGGGTGACTACTTTACCTTTAAGTTTCTATATTGATCGCTGCAGCCTGCATGATTTAATAAATAGCACATCATGTGCCTCACTTGAAAGATTTAGATATATTTACAGTATGTTATAAATATCCCAAATGTTAAAGCATGTAACAAATATTAGAATTTATTTATTCATTTCAGATAAACTTCATACCTCTCCGAACTCTGGCTATTTGGAGTAAGCTCAGTATCGAGACCACGGACGCGTTGTCAGAAGATATCTACGATCCAAGCAAAGCCTTGAACAGTGCTATTATTGATTGGTTACCTCAGTTTTCTATTAGTGAGAATTGTACCACAGAAATTCCTCTCATTATTCGCAGAGAAAACAATTTAGAGTCCATGGAAATTGAGGTTTGCTTTGACCTTCAGACTGTTTATTCTTCTTACGTGAAAATATAGACTTAAATACTGGTGAGCCATATATTTTATGGCAACAAACAAAAACATCCTACCGGTATTCAAGTCGGTTACTTAAATTATGTAATAGTATACCGAATACCGATCACTCAATCAAGTATTTTTAGTCAGTACATATTGAACAAAGTCCCCTATTTGATACCTTCAATATCACCACGATGTAACACGCTATTAACCGATGATCTTCCAGCAGCCGCCCGAGAAGGAGGATTCCCCGCCAACGGAGGAGATGATGAGTATTGAAAGTGAGGGTGAGGCTAAGAAAGTGCTGCCCTCTCCTACTGACGAGGTCCCTCCTTGTAAGTGCCCGGCTAACTATGCACTAATTAATTAATTAGTTTAAATTAAGTGCCTGGTTGATAGTGGGTAGGTGGTATGTTTTAAAAGTGACAGCGATAAAAAATTAGCTTTCAGCATCGACCACTGTCACGTGTCAAAACAAACTTGAACCACCAGAATGCTATTATCCACTACTACTTTACCATGTATTATTTTTCTGGATTACTTCAATTTTTGGATATTGTGTGATGTCAAAAATTTGCCTCTGACTAAGTGTCATTGTATAAGGTGTTTCAACATGATCGTGACGTAACGTATATTGTTAACTCTTAATGCTAATTAGCGCCTTGTATAACTTGACAGCAGTACGTTACACTAGACTGCAATTTAGATCATAGAAACTATAAATCACAAACTATCTGATATGACTATATTATTAAATAATAGTATATATAATATTTATATATTATATCACCATTAAACTGTGTCGATATTATGAAATATTGCAGCAATGCACTCATGTAAAGTTAGGTGCCCTTGAAGGGTTTCCTACGTGTCGATATGTACTGTGAATACAGTGAGATCATTACAATCTCAATAAGTTAGAACAGATCAATATGTCCGACTACAACTAAACCGGAAAACTCTTGAAAACTAAAAAGCTTGCGGAGGTACCCCCGTACCTTACACAAACTCTCCCCCACAGTGCCGTTAGACTCAGATACATTGCTGCCCAAACACGAAGGAATGAGTATAGAGGATCTAAGCTTGTTGTGTGATATGTTTTACTTGCCGTATCAACACGGGGCACGTGCGGTGGAGTTGCTACAGGAACTGAGCTGGCTTGTTAATTTCAACCCTGATAGTAAGCAAGATGTTGATGAGAGCACTCTACCCGCAGAGTGGACTAGAAAGGTGGGATTTTGCGGGGTTTTTAGTTTAAAGTTTAGTCATCATGTTCTGTGCTTGAAATGTCAATTTATTTAGTGTCAGGTTGAACATGATGTATATTGTTTCAGGCTGAACAATTCAGACTGAAATGTGGAATGATAGACTCGCTCTTCTCTAAGATAGACGGACCAAACCGTTCCCTTCATTACGAGATACACCCCTACGTCACGGAGGTCCAGAGCGCTCTCTACAGAGCGAAAGCTTACATTTCTAGAATAGGTCGGTTACATGGTTATATAAGAGTTATAACATTATCTTAATTATTATTTAAAGGGTTAAAATGTTTTGGAGCATGAAGGTCGGACAACTAGTTTCACAGTTATATTAAGATGAATGTTCTATTTTGCACTGCTGATCATTTAGTCAACGTCGCGTAGGAAGTGAGCCAATTTCATGAACTTAAATTCGACGATCAGACATTATAATTCATTAATAATACAGTAAAACCCTGATTTACAGTGCCTTAATTTACCGCAAACCACGAGTTATTGCGGCTATATCCTTTCCCCCAAATAGGGCTTAACATGCAAATTTAAACTAACAAAACATTATTTACTGCAATCACCGATTTACTGCAGCTGTTGTTTTATTCTGACACTGTGGTAAATCAGGGGTTTACTGTTCAATGTGAATCATTTAATTTCCACTGTGTTCCTCCAACTAGAGAGTGGAGGTGCTAATCATAAAACTGAATAATATTTAATGGCGTCTTTATCTATTTAAAGCTTAATAATAATTATTATACCGAGATTAATAATTAGATGGTATTCAATCTATCTTTAAGGCAACAGTAAATTGTTCAAACGACCTTTTCTATTCTTTTGCAACCAATTAATTAAGAGATCTATTAACAAAATGGTCCACACCGTCAATAGAACTTTTCGATTGTCGCGATAGAAAATTCCGACAAATAATTGCTGATGAGAAATGTGACTAATAAACAGTGTCCACTTCAGAGCGAAAGGAATGCAGCTTTCCCACACTCGACATTCCGAGAGACCCCGAACCTTGGGTATTCCAAGGTGGATTTGGTGCAGAACTAACGGTTTGTTGTCAAATAGATTATTAGCGGTTAATTTGTTTTTAATAACAGGTCGTATGCAGTAATCATGCGGCTGACTACTTTAAATTCTAGGGAATAATACGATTTGGTATGTATTATTCAGTCAATGTACGTGTAATATTCGGTATGCTTATTGGGTTAATGAAGTATGATGAGTCGGGAGATTAATTGCTCCCACATCCTGCATTCCATAGTTCGTATTGCTAATTTTGACATCGAGCTGTATACATTAAATAATGAAATTTGACGCCTATCTGAATTTAATACAAACAAGTTGCGCGCGTAAGCCGCGCAACATACGGCCTATTAAACCATTTACTGTTAGCCTTTCTGATAGCAGAAATTCGCGCGCGCGTATATATAATATATATGACGCGCAGTAGAATTCATTTCTAAACCGGGATCAACAAAATGTTCGGCACATGGGTATTTGATCTACTGATATCTCTTGGTTGTGTAAAGTATCTATGCCTGAAATTTACACGAAAAATATGCGGTTCAAATTAATTTGGCTCAAGCAACTCAACTGCGTGGCCTTACTCCCTATTTTTTGGTGGGCTTACGCACTACGCATGTGAACGGGGTTCATATTTTCCTGCTTTACAAGGTTCTAGTATTGACGACGGACAAATGAAGTGTAGTCCTTTCTTCAGATCTTATCCCCCCTTTTAAGTAACGTTATCTAGAGGCCGAGGCCGACCTTTGCCTAAATGAATAAACCTAAGCCATGATTGTAGTTTTGCTGGGTCGCACACTTTCATTAGTTTAGATATTCATCTCAGATGGTGCTGCAGATCAGTCCTTTAACGGATGTAATAAACTTTGTTTTTTAGGGACTGCAAGGTTGACACACTTAAATTTCAGCGCATCTTACCTGCTGAAGCGTATAAGACTGACGAGGTTTCCCGACGACCAGTGGAGAACCCCTCGGCTGCTACATGTGTTTACTTTGTTAGACCATACTGTGTTGCTGATCAGGTTACTTTAACATTTGCTTTCCTCATTTATTTGAGATTTATTGCAATAAGTAAGGGTACGCTTCGATCTCTCATTTCAGATAAAAAATTGGGTCCACTTTCAGTGATCTTTACTGAACCAGCTCCTTACAATCTTAGTCTACTCCGTGCCGTTCACTTTCCGTTGTGGCAGCAACTTCCATCATTAATCGGTTACATTTAGACGCTGAAACAAGTTCCTGTTCAGGAGGACTTGTACAAGATTTGTCTGCTAAACTCTGACAATGGACAGGACGGATCACATTTGTTTCCCGATCATCCTGATATAATTGGAGATAGGTATGTGAAATATTTTAGCATTTATGGTATGTTATTCTATGACTTTTTCCATTTTTATTCACTCGACAGCCATATTGAAATGAACGTAATTTTGTTCGTACAGAATCCGACGGAAATTTCTAGAATTATTGGCATTTGGAACTCACTTCAAACATTGATGTGTAGATAATTTTGTTTAGTTATTGATACACAGTTATCATTGTAACAAAATAAGGATAAGATAAAAATAATAATTTGGTGAGCCCATCAAAGTCTTCAAGATATCAAATCTCTACTCTACTCCACTCACTTCAGTTAAAACTCATATCTGATTGTTCTCTCAGTATTGAAATACAGTCCTATTTGCAAATCTTCAAATATATCCTATCCAGTAGGCTTAGCGCACACATCAGGTTTAAGATACCCCGTGTACATACAGAAGATAACACTGACACTCCAAGTGGTAGTAATAACAAAACATGCAGTGTAAGTAATGTACATAAGGAGTATCATAGCAATAGGGATTGCGCTGGTTACCACTGTCAGAGAAAGAATGAGAAGTAGCTTCATGTTCACTGTACTGAAGTCAACTTTACCGTGGGCTATCTTTTCTAGAACTCTGAACGAGGATCTTCCGTCTATCATGGTTTCTCTTTCTCTTTATTTTTAGTTGCTGGAAAATTGCTTATCAGAGGTCAGCAAGACGTTCCTATCTAACTGATTTTAACTCGTGTCGGTGGTGTCCGTTTTCTCTGTTTTTATGCCTTGCTAAAATAGTGATGTGAGGTTTATACCTGAGTAAAACATCCTGCCTCCCTTTTTACCTCCAAACGAAATTGTGAACATTGGAACGTCTGGAAGTTCCGAAAACTGAGCTGATAAGAATGATTGATAAGACAACAAACGCAAGAAGCAGCATAGCACAAACATACAGTAGCAGACAAATGAGAATTAGAGCGAGAATAATGATGAGGAGATGCCAATACCATGTCATGCGAGATTCTCTGAACTTGAGCTCGCTGAGGAAGAAGTTTCAATTGTTTGGTGAAAGTTAGGTTTCTGTGCCTCATGCGGTGACTAACAATGATCCAGTTATTTACTCAGAAACAAAGTAAAGAGACTGATAGATAAAAGTAAATAACAGTATTTCTTATCATTTTGTACCGATTTGAATTTACTGGCATTCTACATTTAGTGAAAAGGGGTTGAACACGGAATGACTGCTAAATGAAGATGAACACAGAGCTCTACCATTGGATACCAGAGTTCAAATAGAAGATTAGAGACTAAAGTAAAACCTCGATTTAAACTCAGACTACGAAGGTCGAACACGGAGTGCACAGCATAATAACATAGACTAAAACATAAGCAAACACAGAATATCGAGTCAGACTATTCAACTGAAGCACAAACAGATTAACAGAGGGTGCGAACAGAGGCAACATTTAAGTTCGGCTTAAATTTGCGAAAAGTGCGATTCCACACTTGTGACTTGCCTAAAAATGCTTAAGGTGCAGCAGGTGTGCAACAGGCGAGTCTGGGCCTTTATAACATCCGGATTCTCAAAATAGAATCATTGTTATAAATTTTGCAAGTTGCAAAAACGGCTTAGTGGCTCAGTTGGTTAATCCGCCTGGTATTGCTTGAGGTACCAGGTTCGATTCCCGACTCTGTCACTAGCCGTGGGGTGAGCGTCGTCGACGCTCAGCTAAGGATCCTGAGTGGTCTATGCAGCCCCCCGGTCCACTCAGCCAAATACTCGAGAAATCGGGTGTGAGGGTTAAATGAGGAGCTGCCCATTGCAGCAAAGTCTCGGGCGAAGAAAGTATGGTACACACTACCTTAACCGTCACTGGCCTAATGTATAATTGAATCCTTCGGCTTCCTGTAATTGGCTGGTTACACACTTGTGTAACAATGTGGCTGTTGGAATGTCCGAAGTAAAATAAGTGTTGAGATTTTAAAAAATCAGCACTCAGCAGTCATATTCCATCAAAAAATAGCTTATATTTAGAAAATATCGCAATGATTTGGGGGCAAGATTCTTTCCCCTCTTTCAGTTAATCAAGAGGGTGGAGGCAGGATAATCGGCTGAATTCGGTTCGGCTTTGATATCCGGTTACGGTCCGGTTTAAAAGCTGCTTAGCCGGGAAACTGCTTAAAGTGCGATAATGTGCGGGAAACAGCAAATAGTGCGATTCCGCACATGCCGCACTTATATGTTGCCTCTGGTATCAAACCATAGAGTAACTGCAGTAGCAGACAGAGAAGGTACACTGGATGGGTGTGAGCCGTGGCAGCCGGTCATTGCTACTCATTATTTTGTCACAGTTAACTTTGAGGGTACTCAAGAGAGAGCAACAAAGCTGGCATTTGTTAGCAGAGCTAGAAGATTATTAACGTATGCTAGAGATATTGTCTGAATTATCCCTTGAAATACTTTTCATTTCTAAACTCTCGTATTAGGGATCGTTTACATATTACGCAAGCCCAATTTCGGCCATTTAGAAACCTCTACCCTTCCTTGAGCCACTTTACATATAGCTATTGTGTAGGCTATATAAATTACACTAGCAGTAGCGTAAGATTTTCCAAACCGCTTTGGTTGGCTTGCGTAATATATGAAAGTATGAACGATCTAATGATGTGTTGAAAAATTAGATAATAGAACGTAAACTTTCATCCAGGGAACAGGTGAAGGGAGCCATTACTAAGGGTAGTGTCTGAGGTTGACACCACCCTAACTAAGCAACATATTAACACAAACAACCATCTCGCTACTGAAGTACCAATATAAAAGGCTCGGATGTTTCACGAATATGAGCCTGCTGCAACTGTAGCTGACTGTGATGGTTGGCTTACTATCAACATTCAATACACTGTTACACCACATGTACCCAGTATAACAATAGGTAAATTTGGTGAAAGCAAGAGCGAATTAGAAGTCACGTTGGATGTGTGTTTACTGCAGTGTGTTGGGAGGTGGTGTGTAGTTAAATTCAAAATCACACAAAATCATACAAAATCATACAAAATCACACAAAATCAAACAATAATACACACTGACGACAGTTAATACCAATATCGAGATCTGAAAACTACGTTTATTCCTTTTTGGGAGCACTAGTACTGTGTACTACTGTACCAGTGTATGGTACACAGGGGGGGCCGGGGGCACTAGTGCTGTGTACCAGTGTATGGTACACTGCACAGGGCCGGGGGAGGGGGAACTATTGCTGTGTACCAGTGTATGGTACACAGGGGGGAGGGGGCACTAGTGCTGTGTACCAGTGTATGCGCTTAGTCAATAAAGACACCGTGATTGTTATAAAAAATTTCAATGATTTTGACGATTAGATTTAGAATTCAATAAGAATGGCGCTCGTCTTCTGCCCATTGTCAACATTAATTTGTACAAAATAAATTAATATAAAGACAGTGTCTGTACATTTTCAATTTACCTTTGATTGTTCAAACTCACAATGGCATTTCTATATTTAGAATAATAGTTTAATTCTGTAGTCCATCTTACAACTATATTGGTATAATTATATTCTTTGTTCCACGGTGAGAAATGAAGTTAAACAGTACATAACTGGAAATTGGCACTGAGTACATATTATTCAAATTATTCGCACAAACCTCTCTTTTTCAAAAGAACTTAAAAGAACTTTTTCGTCACGAGAAAACTGACATGACATGTTTTTAACACCTTCTAACACCTCCTAACACCTTTCAGAGGTGTAGGACCCTACCTTGAGTTTGCACCGGAGTTGGCCTACGTTCTAACAGATGATGCTGGAGTTTGTGGCTATGTTTTAGGTAGGTTTGTCAGAGGAATTGTTACGGATCAAACTTTTAAATTATTTTCTATCATAAATATTGTTTTCTCAGGAATAAAACAAGAAATTATTTAGACAAATAATGAGCTGTAGAATCTACCAACAGTGAAACTCAGGGACAGGATCATTTTTCCCCATGAAAATTTTTATCGGCCAGGTAGCGCAGTTGGTTAGAACGCCAGCCTTACAATCGTAAGGTTGCGAGTTCAAATCCCACTGTCTGCCTGGTGAGCGTCGTTGACGTTCAGCTAAGGACCCTGAGTGGTCTATGCAGCCCCCCGGTCTACTCAGCCGAATATTCGAGAAATCGGGTGTGAGGGTTAAATGAGGAGCTGCACATTGCAGCAAAGTCTCGGGCGAATAAAGTATGGTACACACTACCTTAACCGTCACTGGCCAAATAAATCCTTCGGCTTCCTGTAATTGGCTGGTTGCACTTGTGTAACAATGTGGCTGTTGGAATACACCGAAGAAAAATAAGTGTCTTGATAAAAATAGACAAACTGGCCGGGAATCAGACGCACTAAGAGCCAATTTTTTGCCGATTGTTTGAAATTCAACTGGTCTGGTTGTAGCTGAATTTAGTCCGGGATATACTGGACACTGGTCCGGACTCTGACTGCAACATGTTACAGGTGTGGTTGACACCCAGTCGTTCTACGAGGACGTCTACACGAAGTGGCTACCTCGGATGTGTGAGAAATACTCCGCACCTGGTCCCGATAAAAGCACCTGGAACAGCACTGCTGTGAGTAATTAGTCAACTAATTGGATGTTAATTAGTTGGGTGCTTGAGTATTTTCAGTTTATTTTGGTAGGGTAGCACGCAGGGTTACTTTATGATAATATTATAGGAATTACTTCACTATCAGGAGGTGGCTAACGGTTTTCACAATCCACCTAAAGTGATAATTCCGGATTGTCTGAGCGGACCTTACCCCTCTCATATCAAGTTCAATCTGCTGCCCCGTGCTCAAGGCAAGGGGATGGGGGAGAGTCTTATCACCTGCGTCCTTGAGTCTTTAAAAAACAAAGGTTCGTATATTTTGAGATATGAGCTTTTTTTTAGCTTGTTGACCCAAGACTCGTATTCTTACGTTAAACAAACACCCTTTTCGGTCTTCTTATTTTATGGAATTTTCGTTTGTCCTTAATGTTAATAAAAAGATAAACATTTTTTCTAGCCCAATAAATACTTCCGAATATTCAGGTTCGAAAGGAGTCCACCTTGACATAAGTCCTGACGATATTCGTTACCTCAACTTCTACACTTCTCTCGGATTTAAGGAGATAACCATGCCTACTCAACCTCTCAACCAGGTTTAGTTTCAGTTTCTATTTTATTACGAGTTTTGCTTTCGGTTTCAGTTTCAAGAGGACAGCGTCATATGGCCCTTGCTGGCCTTGTAAAATCCTTGTACAACAATGATCAAAATTTAAATTTGCAGTTGTAGTAATAAATCTTAGGGTTGTTACTTGCTCTCTGCCTAAAGCTCCGAAAAGTTTAACCTTCTTCTACTCAGGTGTTTTTGGGCAAAATTTTCCCGGGCGAAGTGAAGGACGGTCAGAACAGCGAAATTTCGGACGACCCAGAATTTCCTTAGTACTTCCCCGCTAAGTCGGGATGATATTTATATTAATAATCATGCTATTCGACAGATTTTGTTTGAAAACAGGTGTTGGAATAAAGAAATTAAGACTAACGGGACTTTATTTACATTGATTTTTGTTCATACATTGTTGGTTTTTTTTTGCAAACCAGAAGTTCTGTAAACTTCGCTTATTATTTATGTTATTGTTATGTCGTATAGGATTTTGTTGGTTGTAGAATTTGATATACTTACTACTAATGCTGTTATAAAGTTCCCTTTCGGTATTCTTATGCTGAACTGGGCTGTCATGTTGTAGAGAGCTGCTCCCTAGTTTCCCTGCTCTAAAAGTTTCCCGGCTCTAAAAGTTTCCTGTTTCCCGGCTCTATAGTTTCCCGGCTCTAAACGTTTCCCTGCTCTAAAAGTTTCCCGGCTCTATAGTTTCCCGGCTCCCTAGTTTGGGGGAGGGGGGGGGGGGGCAACCATATTAAAGTATATTAAAGTATATCCCCGGGTCAAAATCGGAAAAAATCCTACATTTTAATATACTTTAATATACCTACAATTAGAAGTTTTATATTCTTCGTTAAGATTTACATGATGAACTATATTTTTCACTCAGATTCGCAAGATAAGCCTGTTTTAGGACTAGTACATGAATTTCCATCCAGATTGGTCAAAAACTGGCTGAGCTATGAGCTTTAAAAAATATGCCCATATTTGGGCATACGCTTTTGCCCAAATTCGATAAAATTTCAATATTTTTTAATGAGACTAATTCTATGTGAAAGATATAACTCAGTGTTTGTTGAATATAGTGGATACTAAGTAAAAAGACCTCCATGAACAAAATTGGGAAAATTGCACATAATATCTCGGTTCGGAATACTAGCCAAAATGACTTCATTAAAATTGAAATAACTCCATCAGTTTTCAATATTTTTTCAAGAACTTTTTGGAATCGATTAAGAATTGCATTTCAAGCTTATTTTGGGCAACAATTTTTGATGTAGGCTTCCAAGGAGATAGGGATATATTAAAGTATATTGTAGGTATATTAAAGTATATTAAAGTATATTAAAGTATATCCCCGGGTCAAAATCGGGAAAAATCCTACATTTTAATATACTTTAATATGGTTGCCCCCCCCCCCCCCCCCCCCCTAGTTTCCTTGCTCCTTAGTTTCACGGCTCTATAGTTTCCCTGCTCTAAAAGTTTCCCGGCTCTATAGTTTCCCTGCTCTAAAAGTTTCCCGGCTCTAAACGTTTCCCTGCTCTAAACGTTTCCCTGCTCTAAACGTTTCCCGGCTCTATAGTTTCCCTGCTCCCTAGTTTCCTTGCTCCCTAGTTTCACGGCTCTAAAAGTTTCCCTGCTCTAAAAGTTTCCCGGCTTCTTAGTTTCCCGGCTCCTTAGTTTCCCAGCTCCCTAGTTTCCCGGCTCCCTAGTTTCCCGGCTCCTTAGTTTCCCGGCTCTATAGTTTCGTTTATCTTTTATTTTAATTTAGTTGGTTGTAATGTGTTATAACGAGTTTTAAATTTAGGTTTTGGGGACTCACTTCTCTGAATGAAGTCTAGTTTGACGAATGGGTTTAAAAAGTTTTTTGTCAAGTTGTAAAAGTGTTTTATCTCCTCAATGTTGTCAGGAGTTGCATTCTTCCGGATTAATTTTTAAGTTAAATAATCTTTAACAGGTTGATAGGTGAAATGTTGGCCAAATTATGGTAGATTATTCGGAACTTTTGTTAAGTTTAATGATGCTGGGGCTCTGGGATTAACTTTAGTGCCTAATTAAACTCCTGTATCATTACATTGTCCTTTTCAAATTTGATGACAATACATTTGAAAATAGCTTGCTGATTCTCGTTTTAGATTTTGCAGCATAATGATTAAGAGGAGCCAAGTAAGTCGTAGCTTCTTAATTTGAGGTATTTCAATTTGATATGTTTATTAGCTATGGAACACTTTATACTTTCCATATATGCTTTTATAAGCGTCTGTATTACCATTAGTAGATTTCCTCATTGTATAAATTTACGCAGAATTACTTACCGCAAATTTCTGCCCTATTGCCTATCAAACTGTCCAATAGTCTGATTTACGGTAATATTAGTGGACCTTGACAAGTGTTTTACTTTATTTCAAATTGTGTAGCGTGTATATCGATTGCAGACCATTTAATTTAATCATTTAAGTTCCATTTTAAATTCATCGTTTTCAATTGGCTTGCTGTACAAGATCTTTGAAGAAGCGCTATTATTGTCGCAGATTATACGGGTGTTGATTGTTGAAGATGTAAATATTTTTCAGCTCGTAGCCTAGCCGGATGATGATTAATCACTCTAGTTCTACAGTCTACAAGTACATGACACTCGACTGTCAAGTGACTTTTTCAACCCGTTTTCTATGTTCTAGCTGGCCCTGAACGACTACTCGAAACCCTAACCCTCTAATTTAATTTTAATTAACCCTCCAATCCCTAACAAATGCATATGCTGAAACCCTAACCTAAACGAGAAATTAGACCCAATTCCTTATACGGTCGTGACTTAACGGGTGATACTCACAAAATATTTGTTCCAAACTCGGCGCGCGTTATAAACCTACAAGGTCGTGACCCCCATTGTCGTTTCACTAAGTGAACTACCGTTTCTACGCGCTCCTACTAAATCGCTCGCCCAAATTTGAAGAAAATTCTTGTGAAAAGGCCCTTTGGTTGTGAAATTGATCTGAACCGGTGTATTTTCGGACGCTGATTCCGAATTACCCCCATGACGTAAGGTAAAAATGCTTCCCTGGAGAGTTATGGGCAAAAAAACCGTTTTGGTCACGTGACAGGCTAGTAAAACATGAATTCGATTGTTTAGGTAGGGGGTGCACCATAAAAATAAACTTGCTCGGATTTAAAAAATTTTTGTACCATTGTTTTCTAGAGACTGTGAGAATTTTCACAATACCAAATTTGTCATACCTTTTTGGAAAGATCAATGAGTTTGACCTAGGTGCCATATTTGATGGTGCGCGGCTTTTGGAGCAAAGTTAGCTGTAAAAGTCGCGAAATTTGACCAAATTCGTTGATTTTTGTCGTATTATTTGGATATATCTTCAGTTCCTTGAATGAAATCATTCTGAAAATTGGCGACGACCTTCTAATAGGGCTTTCACAACTGTCCGAAAAATTTGGTGGATATCAGAGTTGATATAGTGATCAAAATGGGGCAAAATACTCTGCTTTTAGCTGTAACATAATGTCTGATTGTTGGATATGCATTAAACTTTTCGGACACTTTCCTTGTAAGTCTATGAGTAAGCTTACCAATTTTTGTTGCAATCAGAGGTCGGGAAAGATACTTAATATCTATTTGTTTGAAGAAAATTGTGCTGGCCGAAATTAGCGCTAAAAAACCATCCTACAGTCGGCACGCGCGGCTCACTGTCGATGGCGCACTACCTAGTTTAGGGCCCGGGTTAGGGTTAGGGTTGTGGTTAAGATTATGGATAGCTTCGGGGTTATGGTTAGGCCGGTTAGGGTTGGGATTAGGGTTTATGTAAAACCGTTTTGTACGGCTGCAAAACCAAAAAACCAAAGTCACGTGAAATTTTTGGGCGAGCGATTTAGTAAAAGCCGTTAAATATAGATCAACAAATAATTTTGTGATACTCATAAAATATTTATTTCAAATAACAAATAGACCGTGACCGTCGACGAGTCCAACTCGACGCGCGTCTTGGTATAATATATAAAACCTACAAGAGTTACCTGGGGCACCACCGCACCACGATAGTTTAATATCTCTACGCTTAGTCTACAATAATTTGTGCTAACTAACAATTGAGTCGGAGGTCAGTTATAGACACCAACTTGTAGTGATCAATTGTCTTGTCACACGTTGTAGACCTGCCGCGCAAGAGTGCGCGGTATCGTGGCTTTGCCACGATACTATTAGTATTACTAGTGTCACGACAATAAGATTAAGATTACATAATATGGACAATGCACATTACTCACAGTATTAGTTATACAGCATGAGATTAGTGAAAGGCAAAATAAGTGGAAAGCTAAATAAGTGGAAAGCTTGTAAATTGATAAATAATCTAAATTACAAAATTTATATTTGGTCTAAATTATGTAATACTATACAACGGTGATGTTGATTATTGAATTTCAATTAAAAATGAGACCTTAATTGGTCGAGGGAGGGAGGGAGGGAGGGAGGGAGGGAGGGAGGGAGGGAGGGAGGGAGGGAGGGAGGGAGGGAGTGAGATTAAACATATATAGTCTTGAAGTTCTGTTACCTCCGCCCCTGGTGCAACCCCGCCGGGTTAACGAGGTGGAAACAGGGACTTCCAGGGACAGAATTGAAGAGGTCAGTCAAGTATCAATCATTTGAATGACCTAAACCTGACAGTTTATAATCTGTTGGACGTTGGTGTCGTTTCTCCACGATCACAAACAAACTATTTGTAGATGATTGCAGTACCGCGGAATCCTCTACAACCAAATTGAGGCCTACCTTACTTGAACATCTCCCTGATTTTTACCCATGAGTTGGGGCTCATTCAATACAGTCTGGGATCTTTTAATCTAATTAACATGACGTATTATAAGTAAATCATATTCTTAATAGTGCAAAGGACCGACATGTGACATATCATATTATGGCCGATATCATTTCTACTGATAATCAAACATCAAATATTTTACAACAATCAGGTCTTGATAATTTATGAATAGCGATGATTCATTCTGTAAAAATTATCGGCAAATAGAGACCACAATTTGGTAATTATCTCACCGAAGCTTTGGCATAATAACACAGTTTGAATAGTTTACATAGCCATGGTAAATCAATGACAAACTTAAGTACACTATAGGTAACACTGGACACTAACAATGAGCCAACCTGGTTCATTAATTCAAACACATTCTTATGTTAATATTTGCAGGTTTATGACCTACAAATACGGCTCAATTCTACAGCATGATTCGCCAATAGGTAATTGCAATCCTAATCTTGGTGACTGTTTGACTAACTCTTAATAATGTTTAGTCTAGGATTTATTCTAGTGTTTGTATACAATAGACAGTTTTTGGGAGTTCCAAATAGTTTCTGATTATTCTGATTTCTTGCGACAAATGATACTGCACTGTTAGGATAAATGACGCGACGTTTCAAAGTAACAACTTCTTATTCATGCTGACAAAATTGGTAAATATGTGAGAAAACTGTCTCATAAAATTTATTAATCAAAAATGGCTAAACGACAACAAATTGTTCAAATACTAGACTAAAATTAAAACCAAAATCTATATATACACCAATACTCGATCTGCTATTTGTATACAATCTACATAATTAAAACTGAGTGCTGCACTTAGTTCGCCGATCTCTATTCACGCACATATATTTTATTGAACCCTCTCGTTAAAAATACAAATTGTGCACCACAATTCTGTTTTACCAGAGTTTAAGGATCAAATTGCTTTTTAATCTCTCACCCTTCAATTACAATAAATTCTTTGACAGACAGGACAGCGAGATACTTCGTCATCATAGTTCTTTGTTTGCTTACGGATCTACCACAAGGTTTCTCAGTAGACCAAACAGATAGTTGGTACTGTAGATAAGTTCCGATAACAAGAGTGCTGCGGCCCGCCCGCTCACCTAGTATAGTCACTTGTTAGACTCCGCCGCAGCCAAGCGACTAATAGTGAGGGGTTAAGTATAGAATGTACCATATTATGGGAATAACTCTCTCCAATTACTTTTGTAGCTCAGATTTTGCTTTGTTAAGAATGAAGCATTATATACGGGGTTTTCTCGTGGGTGACAGTAAACTCCTAATTTGTCCTCTTCGAATGCACGAATGTCGGGATCAAAGAGTCAGTGATTGTACTGATCAATAGGTTCATATTATGATGTGATAGGCTGATCCACAATATAATCAACAAAGCGGATGGACCTGGTGCGGAGAGTGAGTCTGAACAATCTGTGATCAAAGCAGACCAATGTCCAATAGCGCCTTGCCCTTATCATCAACTGTAATGGAATGCAATTTAATAAACACAATACAATCGTGAGCGTATACTGCACAAGATTATTGTGAATGATAAAATTAGAAAATTGCAGATGCAAAATGTTAAACTTGCAAGTGAGTAGAATTAACAGAGACATATGCTCTAAATTTGCAGGATACAATAAAAAATACTCCACCCCAAATACCGTGCATTTTTTTCTCTTCCGGTATGCCCATTATTCCAGTTTTTTAGCCACTATTTAAATTTTAACAGCAACGGCGAAGATGAAGCACCAATGTAGCACAAGTAATTCATCAATAGGAGATTGGAATTTCATTTCTTTTGACGCTGATATGTGCTTAGTCGATATTTCATATTTGGCTTAATAAAGGATTTCTTGTCTGAATATCGCTTCCTCTCTTGACAACTGTCACCTGTCAAGTTTCTTCTTCACGAACAATTGTTTGTAGTGAAATGGTTTTGATCGGTTATATGATTTTTTTTCCTTTCTCCGCTTTGAATTCCTAAAAAATCTGATTCCATAAATTTGTACTGTCATACAAGACTATTAAATTGATTACGCGATTCTTTTCATACTTACTAGACAATCATCACATTCAAAACGGATCGTTCTTTTGTACTGTATACTGTATATAATAGTGGCCACGATCATACGCCTCTATTATAGAACTAGAAGCGTATCGTGGCCAAACCTAATCTCCAAATTTCCTGTTGATTGGGTAAATGTAAAAATGTTAGTGTTACCAAGTTAATTAGTTCTAGAAATCCTAAAACCATCGTTGTTGCCAGGGACAGATCATCTCATCAGAATTATTGCATTAAATAAAAACTATATAATGATCATTTTCATCTTTTCGTAAGAAAAAAAAAACTTAAATAATTACTAATACATTAAATTATTACTAACATAATAGTACAATTAGTTGTAATGAGCGCTGATTTAGAGAAGAAACACCTGATGGCAAAGAAAGCCGGTTCTCAAAGGAGGAAGTCCCTTGCAGAAATACCACGCAGAAGTACAGTATGGGACAATCTTCAAAAGCAAACCACTTTCTTTAATGACATGCGGGAGTTTGCAGGAGAAACTAGTGCCCATGGAGTGAAGTATATATTTGAAAGTCCTCGGAAAATAATGAAAGCCATGTTTCTGATCCTGTGGACATCATTGACACTCTATGCTGTTTTTACCATCTGCACCAAGATAATGGTGTACATGAATAAGCCAACTGGCACCAAGTTTGAAGTTGTTGTCGATGCCAACGTCGAGGAGAGAAATCAGGGAATTAAATTTCCAACCATTTCCGTCTGTTCTGTAAATAAAGTCAAGAAATCATACCTTGATGCTGAGGAAAACAAAATGATAAAGGAGTACTTCGATATTGTGGATACTTACGATACATCTCTCCTCGAGAATCTGATTGAGAGGTTTGACGATCCTGCGGATGAAATGTCCAGCATCAGAAACCGAACTTACGAGAGTTTGTTGGAAGATGGCGGGCCCAATCCTAACAGATTCACGATGTGTCAACAAACAAAACAGTACTGTGAGCAGCTGGATGAATTTAAAGAAGGCCCTTATCCTCAACATTTTGCTATGGAGAACTCGAATACTGGCAAGTGCTGGAGGGTAAATCCGAAAGGCATGTTGAACGGGAAGATGGGGGATTACGGAGCTATGAAGCTGTCGTTTTGGGCAGACGTCCAGGATTACTCAGACCGGGCAGCAGATACTGAAAATCATGGTTTTATAGTGGCATTTCATGACAATGAAACGTACGGTTCAACCATGTTTTCTGGTTATCTTATGAGTCCCGGCACCTTTTACAAAGTGGACCTAAGACTCAAGAAGATCACGAGGAATAAAGATAAGATCGAGAGCTGTAACGCATCTCTTACTGAAACTACATACGGTATTTACAGTGAGGGGGCGTGTGTAGCCGAATGCAAGGATAAGTCCATGTTTGAGAAGTGTGGGTGTGTGCAGGTGGAACCCCCCGAGAACAATGGTAAGTACAAGTCGTGTACTCTGGAGACCTGGGTTCGTTGTGGGCTTCCTCATTACCGAGAGTGGTATGCTAACTATTCCAATACAAAGCTAGCTAAAGCTATTTGTCATTGTGACATTCCCTGCGAAGAGACAAAGTACGAAGCTGACCTAAGTTCTTCTTCTCTCTCGCCTGCCTTCGCCAGGACACTCCATAGAAGTGTGGGAGCCATCATGTCAAATCCAGCTTATGGATTCTCCAATCCCGAGTTTAATATCTCGTACAATTCTCCTCAAGATGTTCTGGAGAATCTGATGGTCATGGAGATTCTATTTACCAGTATGCAGAAGTACGAGGTCAATGAAGTAATCACGTACGACCTTGGAAACCTCTTCGGTGACGTTGGGGGTGTTCTAGGACTGTTTCTCGGGGCTAGCTTCTTTACGATTCTCGAATTCCTGCTTTTCCTTTTTGTGAGTGTTGCGAAATGTTGCTGTAAAGCAACAGGATGGTGAGATCGAGCGGACTAAGACTTAATAGGAAGCGATGCTTTATGAATATAAATAATATGACATTTAGATTGTGGATATGTTGACACATGACAAGGATTCAATTCGCATGAAAATAAGTTATAACAGAAATATTCTAGTTATATTAGTTATGAGAAGGGTATTTTTATAGTGTTGTTGAATAAAAATGAGCTCGAACGTATGAGCACAATGACTACTTAAATGAAATATGATCTGTAATATAAAATCTTTAATTTATAATGCTGGATCTATTATGCTAAATCATAATCATTATGTGCTACGATTTATGTAGGTTCACAATGGGAGATGGCTCAAGTTATCTTTAACTATTCGAGCTATGTAAGGTCATAAGGAGTTCTAATAAATTGTGCAATGCTTTTAACAGCAATCAAATATTATTCTAAAAGCGATTTCCGGTTATGCGGCGAAAATGCATGCTATCTCTTGACGGTAATCATCAGTTGTCATTATTTTTGGGGACTAGATCTAATCGATCTTGAGTTTATAGTTTTGATTGTCATTTCGCAATCTCAGAGGGCTTTTACCAGCATATATTTGGGATCTTATTCAACAAATAGGATATCAGTGATACTAAATAACATGTGAAATTGATTCTTTATTTGATTTTATCTTGAAAGTTTGTTAATTAGCCACAACTATAAGCACTGTATTATTTGTTCACAAATATACAATAACGAATATACTAATTACCGATAACCGTAAAATTAGCTTTAGTTTAAATTGAACATCCTCAACGTCAGCCTACTCCAATTTTGATCGCCGGGGGTGACATCGGAACTGATCATGGAAAGCATACAAATACGACAGAACTTATCCCCAGAATCCCACTAATATGGCATAATATGTTTTCATGGACCAGGATGGATTTAACGGGATTTCTGATGACTTAAAAGTTCCCATTTAAGGAAGATAAGTATACAACATAAGCAAGGTACTTCGACAAGGATTCTCAATGATAGGGCAGTACAACGTGCAAATTAGACACCAACTATAATGTGTATCTCTAATAATGCTAGGGTGTAAGCTAACTTCCTACCAAAATAAGCAGTATGGTCTTCTCTAACAGCTTATACAATCACAATCCTGGCCCTAGAAGTAGACTAACACAGCTCAGTGATAGTAGTACAGGAAACCCCCACCCCACCCCACCCAGCTTAACAGTTTTTCACATCTAAAACTACATTGTTTTTGTGGAAGAATATTTTGTGGCCGTGATTCCTGATCAAGAAGACGATGTTTCTGTGCATGTAAACGAAGGTAGCTCCTCCAAGCCCCGCCAACAATCCTACACGATCATGATTACTTGTGCTATACCAACAACGTGATTTGTCATAATATATAGTTCATGTGTTGAACAACTCGAGGGGAATTAAATTTGAACCTTCTTTAGAAATTGTATAACAGCAACAGGATTTGCATGATATTACCTATGGGCGTGACATTAGTAAAATATTGCACATACCCATCAAACTGAAAGCGACCAGCTCCAGATAATCTATTATTGTTAATTTAGGCATATTGTTCAGCAAGGTATGCTTCTAAGCAAGTTATTTCCCTCGGGCACATTATACAAATTATTAGAAAATCTCGAAATCATCATCGCAACTTACATGCTTACATCAATGATCAAACCCTTACAAGACATTAGATTATGACAAGACGCCTCACAAGTATAACATTTTGTTAACCAGTATAAATTATGCTATCTAAAGACTATTATATCTTACAAAATATGGTACCGATGTCCGGATCACCGTCAAGCACTAAAAGTAAAACAGGAAAGCCTAGTATCCTATCATCGACCTTTTATCTTATCAGGATGCAACAAGACTGATCTGGGGGGTGTCCAAAGTCACGGAACTTTCACGCGTTACTCCTAACACTGACCCTTCATTATTTAAAGGGTTTGACTAACTATTCAGATCAGTCCAGTTATATTTTTAGATCGATATCTCAACCGAGTCACTATGTTACGTGTTATCCTCTCCGTGTTATTGGTATTTGTTGCATGTCCAGGTTTCACTACCGCAGCCAGTGATAGCAAGAGTTATACAGCTCTTAAGTTTGCTGAATCTAGTAGCTATGTATCATATAACCCGGACATGGCTCGCTTGACAGACAAATTTACTATTTGTGCGTGGGTTCGCAAGCTCCAATCAGGAAGTGGCCGTTGCCCATTCGGTTATTTTATCTCTGGTTACGAGATATTCATGTCAGATAGCGGCTACTACAACAGACTGTTTACATCCAGCTCCCTGGATAATGCTCTGACTAGCAAGTTTACCTCGCCAGTAGGTACATGGTTTATGTACTGCTCCACGTGGAGCCTCGCTTCTAGAACCTTCAGAATCTACGTTAATGGTCAACTAGCAGGTACAGAGACCACAACCTCCGGTAGGAAGCTGCAGACAGGTGGAACATTAACATTTGGGGATAGTAATACAGGTCATGGTCACTATTTCGGTGGCGAGCTATATAACTTTAACGTATACTCGAAGGAAATGACAGTTACAGAAGTAGCTGCCATGTCTTCAGGTGGTCTCTGTACAGAGATACCTGAACAGTTGGAGGAGTATAGAGTTATAAAGTGGGAAGATATTGTGAAGCTGAGTAGATCTGGTACTGTGCAGGACTTAGACACAAGATGTCTTGTATTTACTGAACTACAGACTCGATTAAAAGAAGCTGAGAATGGAGCAATAGCAACTCAGAGAAAGCTGAACAGGACACAGACAGAGCTACTGGAAGTTCAGGGACTGTTCAACTCAACCCAGGAGGCACTAGTTGGGGTAAAGAGTAACCTAGGGGTGATAGGAGGAGAGCTGAATGAAACGAGAAGTGAACTATCGGGAGCCAGAAGGGAGCTGGGAGCTATGGGAGGAGAGTTGAATGAGACAAAACGTCTGCTTGAGGACACAAAGCTGGAGTTGGAGGATACCAAGTTTGAGTTAAAGAACGTAACCGAGTCTAAATGTGCGCTTCAAAAAGGCAATCTAACGAAGTGGGACATACTGTATTCGCCCGCTTATTATAATAAAACCTTTACTCATCGACTATATCAACAACTCACCACAACTTGGGACTCCATTAGCAGTAAGATACCAATATACTACAGTTAAGTTTATGTAATATTTTTTCGTAATTTATGTTTATATTCATTACTTTTTAAATAAATTGATTTATGCTTAAAAAATCACCGGTTACAAAACCGTATCTTTTAAGTTTTAATAAATCGTACACGCATACGAAATATTATAGAATACCATTAAAGCATTAAACTGCAACTGTCGCAAAATCTTAAACTCCAAACTCGCTCATAGCTCATTATGCCAATGTATGCTATCTACATATTGTTAATAGTTGTTAACTTGTTTTCACTTCTCTTTTAATTCAGATAAACTGTTTGGTATGACGATAACTGACAAGGTTATTGAGCTGATAAAAGATCTGGAGGACGGTCAGATCGATCGTTGCGGGGACCTATCATAAAGCCTTGCTACCGAGATAATCTTACTAAGGTACTGACCACACTTGACTTCAAAAATAACATTCATGAGATAAATAAAAACTTAACCTTTCCGTCATATGGTGATTTATATTAATTAACGTAGTAATCTGTAACTGTAAATGTTACATAATAATGCAACTTTTGAGATAATATTTCTTCAAATCAGGTGCTACCGAAGAAGAGATGATGCGAGCTAGACTTATGGGATTCGCGGTGTATTAATTCTTCTTCAATCATGGACATTCTAAATTGTTATCTTTAATTAAGTCCCTGATTTGTATTTTTGAAAACTATAAACTAACATTTTACTTAGTTTATATGTTAATTGTGACTACTATTATCGGTAAATTGGCAAAATCATTTAATTTACTAAATATTATTTGAAACGTTTATCTTATCTTCTAATACACTACAGTATTATATTATGTATGTAATCAACAAGTAATCATCGATGATTGATGATATTTCTATTCGGTTAATGTTTCCATTGCATAGTGGCTTCTAGTTTTTGAACTTAAATTTAAAAATTGTAATTTATTTGCTGAGTTTAAGTAGTAGAACGAAATATTTCATTACCATCGAATGAATTAGAAGGTCGTTGATCTTGAATGAAAAATTAGTGTTTTTAAAATTTCATTGATTAAATAACGTCAATCTGAGTTAATTAGGCGAGTTTGGGCATTTACTGATAGACATGCAACTGCTTTTCAATTTTAAACTTTAAAAAAAATAATTATATAAGTAGTTACTCGTTACTGTATGAAACATGGATATTGTATTTGTTACCAGTATGGACTATGATAGACGATAGTCATGCAATACTACATATTTTCCCTAATTTGATGTTTTATTTCTAACTGTCTAATTCCCAATAGAATTAAAAATATTAACGTTTTATAGATAATGAATATAACAAATTCATCGAGCAGCTCAGTGTTTGAAATACACATAACATCTAAATTCTATAAACTTTTGTGTCTGACTCACTTTATTTTGATTTTGATCATTTAAACTTGAAAGCAAATGCTAATGTATCAAACTATTAGGATGCAATCGAAAAACAATAATAATAATCTCAAACAAGACATATGACAGCTTAAAAATCATCCCCTTCAGTATTACAAACAATAAAATAGTTTTCTTACCTCAATACTGAATAGTGAGGTTGGTGGGTCAGTAATCAGTGTGAGTGGAGGAAGGGAGAAAATATTACTTACAATAAGCATAGTAGAAATTTGCTGTAACTGTAGATAGCAGTTCACCATAATATAATACTGCAACGTCAAAATCTATTTCATTTATTTTATACTGATATATTATGTTGCTCTTATCTTTTTGAAGATTAGCTAACATTTACATCGCGGCAAATCACATTTATTAAGCGTACTGCTAAATTTCACCCTCCTTTTTACTACTTTATAATTTCTTTGCAGCTATCTCGTATAAATAGACAGAGTTTCTTCTTGAAATGTTAATTGCAAGTTGTCTGCTGGCTTTATTGGCAAGTTCAACTAAATTTTAGTAATAAATGTGACAGAGTTTCGGGTGAAAAACAAGTCATTTGACTGCTCAGAAAACATTAAAAAATACTTATTTTACACTTATTTTACATTTGTTTTACACTTATTTTACACTTGTTTTACACTTATTTTACACTTATTTTACACTTATTTTACACTTATTTTACACTTGTTTTAGGATGAATGTAAAACTACTCTCAGTATGGAATCTCATATTTTCTTGCTACGCAAATTTTATATTCACACCCAAGGTTTGCTCTTACGAGGACAAAACATTCTTTCACGATTCATTTGCCAATTACAATTAAATTGTTTTAAAACAGGATTTACGATGCAATACGAATTTGATGTCCACCTATAGCTGTTTGTCTTTCATTTTAAAAATATATTCTAAGATTTGTAAGAGAGAAATACTGTTTCAGTTCACCAGTCAGAAGGTGTGTGAGGATGATTCAGGGTGTGCACCTAGGTGTCGGTTTAAAGATTCTGGCCCTGTTACTACTTGTTCTCTAACAGGCAAATAAGTTTATTAAGTCCCTTATAATCTCTTTTTGAGCTCTTCTTCAAAATTAATTCTTTTGAAATATTGCCTATCATTTTTAGTATGCCTTTATTTTGAATTATTGATTATTATTTTTAGTATGTTGATGCCTGCCTTTCTTTTGAATTATTGATTGTTATTTTTAGATGCTGATGCCTATCGATGCTACGAATATGGGAACTTTACACTTACCGTTCAGATACCAAGGTACAGCTTTTTAATTACTGTGGTGTATAATTGTGTATTACGTTCAGTTTTTATGATGAAAGATTTAAGTGTCCACACTATATACTTATTTCAAAGCAAAACAAGAGAATGATCACAAATTGAGAAATTTCCACTTATCGCACAGTTTAGATGGAATGAAATATCAATTTTTGATTCACGTACTTTAGTTTGACATGCACTCTAGTTCGACAACTTAAGTTCGCAAGAAATTACCCCTGTCGAACTTCGGTACGTGTCGAACTAGAGTCCAGGTAGCGTACTCTAGTTCGACAAATAGTTTCTGCTTGTGATCCAAGGGCTATTGCCGGGTCCTTATCATAGGATCACAGGGTTCAATGGCAGGTGCACGAGATAAGAAATTTCAAAACATTTCGGTAATCTTAAAAAACCATTTTCTGATATCAAGCAACCAGCGGTTGAAAATTTCAGAACCATTCAGCATAATCAATAATAGTAATTGTAATTAGCTCCTACTCTACAAAAGTACTCTACAATCTTGATCTATAAAACGGAGTACGATTTACCTAGGGCACTAGTGCTTAGCCTACAATAACAATTGTGCAACAATCGCAATTCTGACCATTTCAGGAAACTTGAAAATGTGTTGAATGTTATGATAATGAACGGTAAGGAAGATGATTTGGTGGTGTCTATCTCCAACGACTACATCGAGATTTACTATCTGAAATTGAGAGATAATTCTAGGGATATATTGACCAAGGTATGGAATACGTTCAGGAATCTCAAATTGAACTTTTGAAAATAATAACTTGCTTAATTACAACTGAAAGCCTGCTTGTAGATTTTCAGTCGATGTTTAACTAAATGTTCTAGGCTTATCGGCGTAAAGATAACCATATTATCACTTATCTGAGAAAAATTAGTCTTTCGTAAATATTTCCGCCCTGACGATTGTAGACCAGATTCAGAGTTAAAAGTGGAACGCTCAAGAGTTAAATTATATTGTAAGGTCGTTATGAAAATGTAATCCTCACCATTACACAACCTTGACACTCATCTTCTGCGACAGTTTTTTGTTTATTGTGCTGGAAATTTGGCGAATTGTTCTGCTTAATTGCGGTGTTTTGTATTTCAAAATTTGCTGCATATATAAAAAATCTAGGTAGTTGCGGAATCGCACTATTTTCAAGATATTAGCGCACCTACATGTTTCCTCTATAACGCAATCCCTAACTGAAGCATATGCTAAAACCCCAACCCTAACGAGAAATTAGACCAACTTCCTTATATGGCCATGTTACGTGATTGGAAAAGTTTTTTCTCCGATTACTCACCAGGAAAGAAAAACCTCGAAGTCCGAGTGTACGGTTATTTAGAACTTCCACGATTGATTATTAAAATATAACTTTAGGGAATAAATCATCTATAATTTTTCTGTTGAATGAAGATTCTATCTAGGTTAACGGACAGTTTGAGAGGGTATCGTTAATTCTCAGTGATCTGATAACCGTGAAAATTGATGAAAAGATTCCTATGATACTTGACGAGAACACGAAGTTCAATACAGTAACTAGTGTTGAGTCCTTAATGGACGAAGCTGTTTCCATCTTTAAAACAACAATTTTACATAATCAAAGGTATTTATTGCGGTCAAAAAGTCTAAATTATTAGAAAATACAGTATTATGATATGAAAATAAAAGATTTCACTATCCACATTACACGATGATGTTTTAACAACATCTCATGCCGTTTTCAAACAGGTCGCTGTGTTGAAATATGTAATTTGTTCAGGTCGGAATGTCAATGCAATGCGGAGCACCCAGTGCCGCACAGAAGCAGTTGCTATACCTGGAACATGACGGACAGTGTTAGTATGAGTGTAACACCTCAAGTTATCAACATTAACCACTTGCTGGAACTACCCCAACCGTTTGATGTGAGTACTGTTGTTTGTGTGGTCTTCATTTTCTTATTTATTTGATCTGCTTCGCTTTCATCTTGGAAATGAAGCAACTTTAGTATGAACTGGTTATTTATCAAAAAGCTCCTGATTTGTGACTGTATCATAGGAGCAGTCCTGAGCTACCCTTCTTCTACCACAACACAGTGTGCTAATCACGTGATCTTTAAAGTTGTGACACACTGTTGTGTACAGAATAGGTCGCAAAACCACGAATATTGTGTAAAGGGTATTATCCAGCACTCCAGTCCAGGGGGGCACGCTGCCACCATACTGCCTCCACAAGTTTAGTGACATTGAGGGAGCTGTTGTTAGGATGAAGAGTATGGACAGTTCAACTATTAGTGTAGCCCTGGTGTCGAACCTGTTTGGACAACACACGCAACACAGGAACACGAGTATGGATAGGAGGAGGAGCAGGAAGAGGAGAGGGATCCCGAACATGGTGATCAGAACGATCACTTTAAACCGGGTAGAGTCGTCCACTTCACACCCGATATTCCAGGGCTGGAACCAGTAGTCCTGGTTCTTGATGGCGAGCAGGAGGCTGGAGAGGGCGGCTGCTGCCCAGAGTACCAGTACTAGGAGTCTACCTCGTCCAACTGTACTTCGGGAGCAAACAAACTCCTCCGATCTACCTACCTTACACACCTGAACACAGAAACTTGTTAACATTGTCACCTCTATTTTATTGAGGAAGAATTTATACAGTTAAAATCCAGCTAGGTTTAGAGTGTTTATCAACTATATGCCAAGTGTGTTGTGACTAACCTGTAGGAGAATTATAAATAGCAGGAAGTAGAGGGAAGCTGTGACTGGAGCGTACTTTAGAATTGAGTTTAGAAAACACAGCTTATCTCCAAATACCCATCTTCCTGAAATAAGCCAGATCAAGAAATATCAATTAAAATTCTGCAAACAAACCAATCTAAATGTAGCGTTTTGTTGATAATATAGAGGGTGGACAGAGAATAAACCAATAAAACATTATCGTAATCATTAATTAGTAATCACTGATCAGTGAGAAGTATATAGTGACCAGTGACCACTATGTATACACTCCGAGATATAAATAGTGACCACTATGTATACACTCCGAGATGTAAACAATATAGCCAGCACTTGCGTTTTCGCTCGCCGCGGATGGATATAAAAACCTACCTACAATGGTGGTGGTTGCCATGGGAAATATGCGTATCATCTGAAATATTATGTCAGATACTGCTAGATGATGAATACAGTGCAGTGATACAGGATCCATCCGGAGGAAGACTTGGCGACATTTCTTTAGGTAGTCTGAGGGGGGTCAGAGAAAATTGGAATCTCGACTTGTTAGCTTTTTTGATTTTGTGATATTATTTGTTGTTAAGGAAGGTTTGTACAGAATTTTGGAATATCGTTGATTGGATTAGCAAATACAAATTAAAATATGGCGCGGTATATTTATCCACAGAAAGCACAAAAGCCCCGAATTTAAATTGCTCGCAATGCAGTAACTTCTTTCAAACTTCATGAATCGAGATCAAATCTTCTACGATGTTTTTAGAATCAATATATTTACTTATTATAATCGCTTTGAATAGTTTTCAAAGGGGATAACAAACTCAAAAACGCTGTCTGTCTTATGTCTCCGTGAAAATCACAATAGCATGAGTACTGAGTAGCTTTGGTCGAGGTACCTCAAGACTTAGCTTTAAACGAACCTAGTTCAATTTCGGTCGAAACACGTCAACTTAGTGCATAATCAATCAAGTAGAAGGACTATTTCATGATCATAGTCATACGTGTCAAATTGGGCGTGCTTTCTGTGGAGATATAGTGCCCTCCTTAAAGGATTGTAAACTTAGTAAGTCAAATCTGCTGAATAAAATTACCTGTAATCATGACGTTTGAGAAGAAACAGAAAATCATCGCCCCTACTAAATATACTGACAAAAAGAAACGTAGTTGCCATGGTAACAGATCAGCCGGATCTATTCCAAGGGTGGAATTGTTATTCTGATCCAGTAAAGATTCATTCATCTGCGTTTTAAAGTTTTTTTTAACTGGAGTTGAAATTGTAACCAATACCATAATTAAGAAAAGACTTAAAATCCCCTATTTCCTCATTTTTAAACGATATTTTTTACAATTAATACGGTCAAGAATGGATTTTAAACACAAAACAACTAAACGATCACTACATGCTGCTAAAATACCTAAACAAATAGTGATGTATCACTATCTGCAGACTATTACTGAGAAGGAAGTTCATTCTGTCATGATGTAAAAATATGTGTTGGCACTGTTTCAAAATACAAGTCTTCCGTGCCTCAGATATTACTGATAAAACACTTGGCACAGTTAGCGCACACTTAAGGGGATCGCTTAAGGCAAAGAAACTTAAGGGTCTTTAAGTAGTAACATATTAACCATTACGATCTGGCATATTATGTAAAAATCACAAGATGTAAGTAAAAACCACACCTAAAACAGAAACTTCACGTACAAAGCAGAAAAACGTCTGTCTGTCATATTATTTTACTGGTATTTTATCTTAATCATGTGAAATCTGATATTACATTTGAATAGCCATGATTTAAGTGTTGTTGAGATACTGCCACGCGCAGATACGCCTCACGTGTTTTGGAAGTTGACTGCACACCAAATTAGATTATCTGAGCTAAGCAGTAGCCCATGAATCTTACTTATGGATAAGATTCACGGGTAAATCATATTTCTTATCGAAAAACGGGTAGAACTGATAGGTCCATTCTAGATATTGATTAAACCAATAATATGATATAAAGAACCCAGTTTTTAAGCTGTTATATAAATATGTAGTATAACCTTTGTATTATTGGGTGGGGGAGAGGGGCTGACACGTCCGCCAATGACCGGTTATCTCATAAATGATAAAATCCAAAAACAAACACGGACATAGGCGGACATATGCGGACATGCCCCCCCCCCCCCTCCCCCTTATTCATAACCATCACTATTACATTTTGATATTACCATTACGGTTAACAGTTAGCATTGTAAATTATATGCTTATATGTTAACAGCTAACCTTACATCCTAGGTGTCCGCGGTATTTTACACGACGAACAAGGGCCCAGGATATGTTGATCAAATCTTTGTAAACGGGCTGATAGATTCTAACACAACTTCCTTAAGGTTTGTTATCTTCCTCTTTTGACCTATGAACTCATCGAATAATGTTTTGTTTTCACTTGTATATGTTGTTTGAAATATTCTTAGTCCTAATAGTGGGAATATATTAGTTTGATGCTTTAGATATGTTAGGTCACGTGCTTCTTTGTCTCAAAGTTAAAACTACAACAGTCTCTAACAGTCTCTAACAGTCTCTAACAGTCTCTAACAGTCTCTAACAGTCTCTAACAGTCTATAACAGTCTCTAACAGTCTCTAACAGTCTCTAACAGTCTCTAACAGTCTCTAACAGTCGCTGACAGTCTCTAACAGTCTCTAACAGTCTCTAACAGTCTCTAACAGTCTCTAACAGTCTCTAACAGTCTCTAACAGTCTCTAACAGTCTCTAACAGTCTCTAACAGTCTCTAACAGTCTCTAACAGTATCTACTCTTCAGGTCTGACCAGTACTATTACCCCTTATCTCGAGTGTCAGTGAAGTTGCAAAGAGGTCACGTGTTTCAAATTGAGATCATCGGAGCTCAGTCCTCTACATTGAGTGACGTGAAACTTTTAGCCAGGTTACTAATTTGTTGTTTACTGTAACCATGTATCGCAATTGATAGAAGTAAAATACTCCTTTATGAAATGTTTAGGTGTCGTTGAACCTTCTCTTTCCAAATAACTAATATCCTGTTATTCCAAATAGTGCCCCAACTGAAGATGGAAATGAAACCTCCGGGAAAGTAACAATCCCTCCAACTAAGGATGGAAATGAAACCTCCGGGAAAGTAACAATCCCTCCAACTAAGGATGGAAATGAAACCTCCGGGAAAGTAACAATCCCTCCAACTAAGGATGGAAATGAAACCTCCGGAAAAGTAACAAACTCTCCAACTAAGGATGGAAATGAAACCTCCGGAAAAGTTACAGACTTGCCAACTAAGGATGGAAATGAAACCTCCGGAAAAGTTACAGACCCTTCAACCAAGGATGGAAATGAAACCTCCGGAAAAGTAACAAACTCTCCAACTAAGGATGGAAATGAAACCTCCGGAAAAGTAACAAACTCTCCAACTAAGGATGGAAATGAAACCCCCGGAAAAGTTACAGACTTTCCAACTAAGGATGGAAATGAAACCTCCGGAAAAGTTACAGACTTTCCAATTAAGGATGGAAATGAAACCTCCGGAAAAGTTACATTCCCTTCTACTAAGGATGGAAATGAAACCTCCAGAAAAGTCACAGTGCCTTCTACTAAAAATGGAAATGAAACCTCCAGAAAAGTCACAGTTCCTTCTACTAAAGATGGAAATGAAACCTCCGGAAAAGTTACAGTGCCTTCTACTAAAGATGGAAATGAAACCTCCGGAAAAGTTACAGTCCCTTCTACTAAAGATGGAAATGAAACCTCCGGGAATGTAACAGTCCCTTCTACTAAAGATGGAAATAAAACCTCCGGGAATGTAACAGTCCCTTCTACTAAAGATGGAAATGAAACCTCCGGAAAAGTTACAGTCCCTTCTACTAAAGATGGAAATGAAACCTCCGGAAAAGTTACAGACTCTCCAACTAAAGATGGAAATGAAACCTCCGGAAAAGTTACAGTCCCTTCTACTAAAGATATAAATGAAACCTCCAGAAAAGTTACAGTCCCTTCTACTAAAGATGGAAATGAAACCTCCGGAAAAGTTACAGACTCTCCAACTAAAGATGGAAATGAAACCTCTGGGAAAGTCATAGACCGTTCAACTAAAAACGGAAATGAAACCTCCGGAAAAGTTACAGTGCCTTCTACTAAGGATGGAAATGAAACCTCCGGAAACGTTACAGTGCCTTCTACTAAAGATGGAAATGAAACCTCCGGAAAAGTTACAGACTCTCCAACTAAAGATGGAAATGAAACCTCTAGGAAAGTCATAGACCGTTCAACTAAAAACGGAAATGAAACTTCCGGAAAAGTTACAGTTCCTTCTACTAAAGATGGAGACGAAACCTCCGGAAAAGCCACAGTGCCTTCTACTAAAGACGGAAATGAAACCTCCGGAAAAGTTACAGTCCCTTCTACTAAAGATGGAAATGAAACCTCCGGAAAAGTTACAGACTCTCCAACTAAAGATGGAAATGAAACTTCCGGAAAAGTTACAGTGCCTTCTACTAAATATGGAAATGAAACCTCCGGAAAAGTAACAGAGTCTCCAACTAAAAATGGAAATGAAACCTCCGGAAAGGTTACAGTCCCTTCTACTCAATATGGAAATGAAACCTCCGGAAAAGTAACAGAGTCTCCAACTAAAAACGGAAATGAAACTTCCGGAAAAGTTACAGTGCCTTCTACTAAAGATGGAAATGAAACCTCCGGAAACGTTACAGACCCTTCAACCAAGGATGGAAATGAAACCTCCGGAAAAGTAACAGTCCCAGTTACAGAAGGTAGCAACTCAAACAATTCTGTTACAGAAGCGTCTACTTCAGATCGAGTCACATTTTATCAAGGTATGTAACTGAAAATCTTTATAGTAAATTAAACCGATGCAGCAATCGGACAGTGACAAACTATAATAATTTCGTGTGGTATCCAACAGCACCGAGTTTCGTTACCCCATCAAACTACAATAGTTCGCAATAGCTGATCGTTACATTGATATTGTGGTCCCTAAAATGCAGTCAACCATAAGTCATAACACATTCTACAAAACAAGAACAGCAATTTAGAAATTATCAATTTACGGTTGCCTCTTTAAATAAAAATATATCGCCGACTTGCCGAATATTTCCGACTAGCGACTTATTGGATCTCAATACCTACAGGTATGAAGGGTTTTACAGTCGACTCCTACGAAGAGGGAGATGTCTACACCCGGTTACTAGACACCAACCTCACACTCCTCATCCGAGTAAAGAATACTGGACTCGTCAGATCAAAGCGTGATCTGGAGAATACCATACATGAAATTAGTAAGCTAATCATCAACCTTTTAATCTGCTATTAAAATCTGATGCCCTACACACTAGAGTTTGTGGTTATAATGTACTCCAACACAGATATCAGATAATAGTTCCCAGGAACCCTGTTCCGGACAATATTCCAACACAGATATCAGATAATAGTCCTCAGGAACCCTGTTCCGGACATACTGCGAGTTAAACAACTGCACTGAAATGAGTAAAGTAGATGTGTTAAGTTTCCGGCAGTTAGACGAACAGACGATTGAGCACACGGACACGTTACAGAGCTACTCAGCTTACATGTACACCTTTGTTGCTGACGATGTGAAACTTACTAAAAAGATAGTTACACCCCATCGAGGTAATAACTTCATTTCGAACTGACAGCTTCACTGATTAATTGTCTTTTTTGATTTACACGAGAATCTTTATCTTATTACTAGCCCAAAGAAGGGGGGTGCTGGGTGGTAGGTGTCAGTGTTACATGCCGCCTCGACCAATCGCCGCCACTACAGAAGATTTTCCAACCACGCCGCCGACGGTTAGAAACAGTGAATATGGCGTAAATGAGTAAATGGCGTACATGCGCAGAATTTTGTTTTTGCCATGTTATTTTTGAATTTTATCGACTAGACCCTCAAATGGGCTGCCAGACCATAAAAGCATAAAGAACCTGCGAATCTAACCAATATTTACTTCATCATATCATAAGTAACTAACCTGATAGTAGCTCAGAGATCTAAAAACCAATTAATACGGATATTGCTTTGATTATTGTTTGTGCATTACTTAAAGTACGGTTGGAACACGTACATTTGTGTAAGACTACTGCCCCTGAATTCCTCAAGTCTCCTCCGATCTGCTATTATTATAACTAGACTCCTATTCATTTTAAAATCACGTTACTTCACGCCTATACGCCGCCGCCGAAACATTTTATCCCGCCGCCGCCGTTTTGGATAAAATCGGCGGCGTAAAAAATTGGTAGGCGTCTTATAACATATGTCGGAACACCAGTGTCATAATTCTGTTTACTCTCTTCAGAGCCTGAGGTGGTAGAGCAAGTGAAGACGGAGGTGATATCAGAACACCAGGTTCAGGTAAACTAACAGTGTTCACTCTAAAGTCTAAACCTTGTATAGTTATTAGTTATACGTATTTTATATCTGAAATGGTAATTGCTATCCGATATAATGTCATCAATCATCATGCTATCTCAATCAATAATTTGGTATACAATACTCCTTTATAAAGGAGTATTGTATACCAAATTATTGAATAATAATATAAATAATAATACCACATCCAGGTTAACTGGAGGGGAGTGTTCAGACCCAACAGCAGAGTTTTAGCACCAGGCTGTTTCACTGTAACTGTCACTGCTGGAAACGTCACCACTAAGATAAAAACTGATTTTATGAGCCTCATGATTGTGGACAAAGGTAAGTTAAACTTACGAGAAAACAAATTTACAGTACGGTTCATTTCGTCATGTAAATAAATGTAATTTTTAAAAAGCACGCGTAATGTGGTGACGTGGCTCCCTTGAAGAAGGAGCTTTTCTGCTTCATCACTTTCTCTATCGAGCTTTAAAATGAAATCTTTAATAATTGCAGAAGATAATTTAGAATCTAGTGGAATAGCTAGCCAGATGCCGAACATGAGGATTCCTAGTAAGATAAACAGCACTAACATAGTGGTGGAGATCACTCTAAAAACTGAAATGGGAGATGTAACTGCTACCTCCAGTAAGTTTCAGCATTTAACAAAACTTTTTATCGTAATTTCATAATCAACCTATTAAATATTCAGTAATTTTTCAATCATCTACATTTCAGCACGCCTTATCGTCTGGGGTATATATGTCTTGAACCTAACCCTCTAACAAAGTTATCAACCATGTGACCTATTGCGTGACCCATTGCGTGACCCACGTGACCCATAAACAGTGTGTATTACGTGACCCATAAACAGTGTTTATTAGGGGACACATAAACAATGTTTATTATGTGACCCATAAACAGAGAAATCAGTTTTAGAGGTAATCATGATTACCTCTCACAGTTAACACTGATTTATCTGTTCAGGTTTACCAGCAGCTCAACAGAAAATAGCTCACTCAGTCCTTGTGCTCTCAATTGTGTTTGGAGTTTTGGGAGCACTCTTCCTCATTCTCATATCCGTTTACGTCATCTACAGGTACACTTAGTGTTAAAATAAAATCACATAGAGTCCACATGACTGGAACCATCTAAAATACAATTTAGATTTTATCCTCATTTAGCTACCTTACGAGACATATTTATGTTCGACATAACTCCGGTGACCTAAATGATTTGGGAACGAAAATATGGTGATTTTTTCCGACAAATTTCATTCCCCAAATTAAATCACGGTATTTGGGGATATTTTAATTTCCTTATTTTACAAAATTGAAACCCAATATTTGAGAGAATTAAATAAAAAGATCTTCTCTGATCAACTGTTTCATCTTGTAAATAATTACTCCGGAGCCCTTGAAAGTTAGCCTCAACTTAACTTATCATCCAGACGGTATAGGAGACCGACGGAGTTTGTTATCTTCCACTACTCCCGAAATTTCACCGCCCTGCGGCCCTGGCCAATATAGTAGTGACCGAGCTTGCTTACTTTTAATGGAACGTGTCCAAAATCATTTTTTAAGCAATTCATGATCGAATACTAGTGTTCATTTGTTTGATGAATCATATTTATAACTCACTATATTGATAGTAAATCGATATAAAAGTCATAATTAAGAAAAATTGGTGAAAAATAATTCGGGGAGAACAATGACGGTGACCTAAAATCACAATGCTGGCAAGCATTATACCGTCGCCCTTATATTCACAATACTATTTACCCCCTATACTATTATATCCCCTTTATTGATTTCCAGGCATTAAGACTCATCGAAAGTAGATCAGCAGGTACATTTAAGTTCAAAACATTCTAATTCAATGTTAAAGATGACAGGAATAAGAAATAGTTATATGGAGGTTTTTAAGAAATTTGCGCAAAATACGCGCCAGCATGTTATACGAAATTAGGTAAAAAACCCAAAATCGCCATATTCAGGTGCCTTAAAAACCATGTTAAAATTGAGTTAGAGATCTGAAACTTTGCAGGGCGTCTAGACCTTGTCCAAATCGACTGTAAAAAAAATTTCATGTTTCAGGAGTATCGTGAAGTGGGTTTTCTGGAACCCCTGTTTTACAACAGATTGTCGTGAAGATATATAATATAGACGCTTTTTGCAGTCAATTGTAGCCTACATTTAAGTGTCCGTAGATTCGAAAGTATAAACGATACAGTCATCTCGAACCACAGGTTTTAAAGATAATCGTTTAAGCTTTAGTTTACATTGTATTAAAAAATAATTTAACGTCATCATCATCACTTGATGACGTCATCAAATTAAGTGTTTTAAAAACTTGATTTTTGACAAAGTAACAACTTTTCAAATCGATTTTACGCTATTAAGGAGTAATTTTATTCAAAATCTGAGGACATTTTCATCTTAGATAATTGTTCAAGCATTCCGAAAATCTACCGGAATAGTTTCCTACCTTGCTCCTTCATAAAGATATTTGCTATTGAAGTTAGTGCTTTTTTGAAGAATAATTTTATAAAAACACAAAAGTTGTAAATTAGTATTCTCTGGTGTTGGGTCATCCCTTGAGTTGTGGAGCTCAATTTTGCTTCTTAAAGGTGTAAATTGTGTTATAGGCTAGTTTTAAAGTTAAAAATCGAAAAGTTGCACACGTGGGGACACGCCCAAATTTATTTAAAATAGCTAAAATCACTAAAAATTTTGATTTTCACGATTTTTATCAACTTTGGAGTCCCGTTGTGATCCAAGTTCTTTTTGAAATCTTCTGAAACTTTGCATGCTTATCAAACTATATATTAAATACCACTATGCAAAAATTTACGGTGATTCAATATTGTATGCGCACGCAACGTCCGCTCAAAGTTTGCACGTGCGAAAGGTGAGAATTTTGCTCATTCGTGATTTCGAATATATTCTGCTTTCCACGATATTTAAATGGCATTATATATGAATTTAATGCCAACTTGAATGAGTAAAAAGTGCCATATTCAGTCGGTTATCGACAGATATACCTAACTAAACACAAGGAAACGTTTTCAAAGGCAGAATTTCGAAATCGTCGGAATTACCTCCTTGTTAATGAAGTTTCGATTGTGTAAATTATCCTGACATTATAATCAAAAAGAGATGATATTTGACCAAAACCCATAATCATGGGTAGAGTGTACCGCTGCCAGTGTCTCTCTTTTCCAAACAAAAGGAAATGATATTAATTTGAGGAACCGTCCGCTAATGCAAAGTGATACCGAGAATGAAATCGGTCGCTCGCTTTTCCCATTTAATAAGCTTTATTACAATTCGTAAGCCGTAAATGAAGGGGAAAAGCGAGCGACCGATTTCATTCTCGGTATCAATTTGCATTAGCGGACGGTTCCTCAAATTAATATCATTTCCTTTTGTTTGGAAAAGAGAGACACTGGCAGCGGTACACTCTAGGTACCCATGATTATGGGTTTTGGTCAAATTTAGTAGTCCGAAAATATGGTATTTTTTTCCGAAAAACCACCGACTTTCGTACCATTTAAATATGTCTCGTAAGGTAATCATGGTCTTGGCACTATGATTCTCAAATTTGTTTGCCCGCATTCATTTTTATATGCTCTACTCATCATGATGATCTGGAATTGATCATTCTACAGGGTGCGTCGTAATGCAGCCCACTCTTACCACTTTAACCCGAATACGATGCGACAAGAATACAGACCTAGTGAGGCTGAGCGGAGCAAGCTTACTCTTAATACTAACCAGGTTTGTAGGTTTGTGGGTCTGTAGGTTTGTAGGTTTGTAGGTTTGTAGGTTTGTAGGTTTGTAGGTTTGTAGGTTTGTAGGTTTGTAGGTTTGTAGGTTTGTAGGTTTGTAGGTTTGTAGGTTTGTAGGTTTGTGGGTTTTTGGGTTTGAAGAAAAATTCCGCCATATTTTTCCCGGTCATTAATTTTCCCAGTCATAAATTAACCCGCTATAATATTCCCGAGTAAGGTATACATTATACAATATATTTCAGTCCCAGTCCACAATACACCACAACCGGATGTGCCCACCACCATCTGACCCAAAAGAGGATCACGGTAACGCAGTGTTCCAAGTGAAGCGAGTAGACGCTACAGAGAACCTGCTGGCGGATTGCCACATAGTCCCGAGTCCTGCGACCCCGGCCCCACCCACTCAACCTACTAGCACTGTCACTCGCATGACCCCGGCACTCGCCAACGTCCTGAAATTTGAGAGAACGCGGTAAGCGGACCCAATCCCCACCGCTACCATCATAACCGGTAGGGATACAGTCTGCCAAACAGACTGAATCCTTATTAAGTTGACATAATTGCAATAGAGGCTGCAGATAAACACAAACATGATCATGATTATTAAATAAAATTGTCAGGTAGAAAATACCGCACCAATCATACATTTCGGTCCAGTAAAAAATCTTTTTGAATAATCTTAGCAGCTTATCGCCTGATACAAAATCTTTCATTGTATTAGAAATGCAATTTTTCTGGAAGGGGTAAAACGAATCCCTACTGGCATGATTATCTTTCAGAAGTGATCGTTATAGTTTAGCGTTAGGGGTCCGATCTGACCTTCAAAGAACCCCCAGTGAAAGTAGTGGGAGCGTCACGCACTGTCAGGTGAGAAAACATTATGATTATCAAGTTATATACTGATTTATATACTGATCCTAAGTTATACTGCTCCTATATATATACTGATCCTAAGTTATACTGCTCCTATATATATAATTACTGATTATATACTGATCCTAAGTTTTACTGCTCCTATATATATACTGATTATACACTGCTCCTAGTTTCATTGCGTCCTAATATATATACTGATTATATACTGATCCTAAGTTATAATACTGCTTCTATATATATTACTGATTATATACTGAATACTGATCCTAAGTTATACTGATCCTAAGTTATAATACTGCTCCTGTACAATAAGTACATATACTGATTATATAATGATCCTAAGTTATGAAACTGCTCTTATATGTATACTGATTATATATTGATCCTAAGTTATACTGAACCTAAGTAATACTGCTCTAAGTTATACTGCTCTAAGTTATACTGCTCTAAGTTATACTGCTCTAAGTTATACTGCTCTATAAGTTATACTGCTCTATAAGTTATACTGCTCTAAGTTATACTCATGCTCTAAGTTATACTGCTCTGGAATTTTCGGATTGAAAAATTGGTCGGGGTGTATACTGGTGCAAAATCACATTTTTTTTGTTAAGCATGTTTGATGTTGAAACATTGGATGATTATAAACATTTTGATAGAGTAGTGTTGATAAAAATTGTCTATTATTAAGGCAACAAACTTCTTATCTATCCTGAAACCAACTCGTATATGTTATCTATTTCAGACAGATATAAGAGATAAGGCTGTCACGCTGACAAGTCAAGATGGTACTTCTCAGACCTACCTTTAGCAAAGTTATAGTTGACACTTTAGTTAGTTAGTTTAGTTTAGTTAGTTATTATATTAGTCGGCTATAGTTCCTTAGTTAACCTTTACGTGTTTATAGCTAGTTTATATGTAGTTTGTTGCCCTTTTGAATGTTGATGTAATTATTTCTCATTATTTTGTATTTTTGTTTTGGTATTTTTGGGTCGACTTCGAATTTTATAATGTTCATATAATTTGTGGAGATTGGATTTTTTGTATAACCATTATGTATTGTAAAATTTATGTGCTTAGAATTCTAACTTAATGATTCAATTTCGTGTCTATTTTCCCTGCAGATTTACCGATCTTTTTGCCATTTTGTAGATAAATCTTTGCAAACGTTCTTCGTACACTTACCGCGGTCGAATGGTACCATGGACGCTAGGGGCCCTAACTTTAATTTTAATGTCTGTTTAAATAAAGTCTGTCCGTTTTGCGATACGGACAAGGTAGTCATTATTGCACACATTAATTGTGGGAAATTCTGCTTTTTAGTGTCACCTGATAATTATCTCAGGGATACTATGGTGGTCGTAGACTCTAAGACGTAGAGACTCTATTTAAAGCTGTCTCTACGACGTAGAGACTCTATTTAAAGCTGTCTCTACGACGTAGAGACTCTATTTAAAGCTGTCTCTACGACGTAAAGACTCTATTTAAAGCTGTCTCTACGTCGTAGAGACCCATTTAAAGCTGTCTCTATGACGTAGAGACTCTATTTAAAGCTGTCTCTACGACGTAGAGACTCTATTTAAAGCTGTCTCTACGTCGTATAGACTCTATTTAAAGCTGTCTCTACGTCGTAGAGACTCTATTTAAAGCTGTATCTACGACATAGAGAGTAGTTTGCAAACTTGCTAAGGTCACCCTTATATTTCCAACTTAAAATGGGTTCTAAATCACATGATCGTATTCTACAAAAGTTTAATAGTCAAAACAATAACAGCAACATTCCTTCAAAACTTGTATAATTAAGGTGCGACCACCACATCGGCAGCCACAAACAAATACTCGTAAAGTAATAACTATTTCACCAAAATGTAAAACAAAAACAAACGAATAACTGTCCTACTTATTTAAGATATTTAAAATATTTAAAATTATTTCAATCTATAATTTATTTTTTAGACTTCTCTATAAGATGGTTATTAGCAAAAGCGTTACAAAATGACATCGTTTATCCTATACTGAATTTATAAACATGAGTTTAATCTATAAAATAAATTACCGCAAGCTGCTGAGCTCACTGTACTAATCTTATTCACTAATTGCTTTTTAATAATTACAATTTGTTAAGATAATAAATATAAACTTATAAATCAATTGAACATGCTGTGATCTCTGAAATGTTTTAAAATATAATCCCAGCGTTTTTAAATCTCTACCAAAACAAAGCAAAACCAATATTAACAATAACTAAAGTGACAGCCGCTGATATCTTCGTTGAGGAACTGTCGTCGCGGTCATCTATGACTTCTGAAGAAGAATCTAGTTTGAATTAGATGTTGCAAAAAATGTTAGTGAGTTACAATTTGAGTAGTTGTTAGTCTAGAAATAGTTTTGTGTTTTTGATCTAAATTGCGTTCGATGATTATTATTTTTTCCCTTGATTTTAGATGAACTAGATTTTACTGTTTTCAGAAACAATTAAATATTTCCGGCAGTATCCAGATAGCTCAACCCCTGTTCGCGAACAACTGTTCGTGAAAAACTTATGACATGATGGTTACCAGATCATATGACTGCATAATAACAGTACACAGACTTGCTATTAATTTAATACCTTACTAGCTTGCATCAAGATATAACTTATAGTATGATAGGTAAACAGTTAACTGTGCTACACTTTAGTCTGTTACTATGATCTGTACATAAATTTAAATTAAATTAAAATTTGTAAATGTTCAAGTAAAAAAAGGCTGTTCTAAATAATAATTCCACTGTAGTTTGCTTACATCAAGAATCAAGATACCTTACTAGCTTGCATCAAGATATAACTTATAGTATGGTAGGTTAACTGTGCTACATGATTAAACTATGATTTAAAACTTCAACCTAAACTAAAACTCAACTGGGCTCTCCTGTGTCACCAAACTAGACAAATAACCAATTTTAGATTATTATATTTTTCTATATTTGTATAATAAGTATATTGACGTAGTGGATGGTTGAGGGGGTTTCAAGCACAGGTCACTCTCAAATCCAAAGATAAGCAGTGTCCTTCGGCACTTCAAACCTCTTCAAACCTCCCCTGATTTATTTATTATTGATATTGTTTGATTGTGCCGTAAAAATAAATATTTGTTTTATTAATATTTGTTTTATTAAATATTTGTTTTATTAATATTTGTTTTATTAAATTGAATTAAAATTTGTCAATGTTCAAGTAAAAGATAATGTGAACCAACCGTGCTTGCAATGATGTAAACCCTGCTTGATTCAGTGTCAAGGGGTTCACATCATCACAAGCAAGTCTGTGTACTGTTATTATGCAGTCATATGATTTGGTAAGTATCATGTCATAAGTTGTTCACGAACACCTGTTCGCGAACAGGGGTCGGGCTATCTGGATACTGCCTTATTTCCTTGATGTAGGTATCTACTATTTGGGCGGGATTGGGGGCTTAGCGATATCTTACCTGCGCATTTTATCCAAACAACTTCATCTTGCTCGCATGACGTAGCCATCATTTTACCAACACACTCAGCAGATATGGCCAGTAAGTTCCCAGCACAGTCATCACCTGCTAGTCTTGGCATGCTCATACTCGATAGTAATGACCTGAAATACGAAAACATGTGAGAATCCAGCAATAATCTGCCTATAACGGTACTGCAGTTTTTAATTGTTGCAGAATTGTGCCGAAATCCTAGTTAATATCTGTACAACATATGAACAAAAATCAACTCCCTTATTGACTGAATATTTAAGAGCAATAGTGCAACATACTTACTCTGGAACATATTTAAAGTTTTGTGGACTGCTACCAAATGTTCCATCTCCAAATCCGAGTAATTGACAAATCATATTTGCAGTTGTGTTATCGTAACCACTGTTACAGAAAGTGACATTAGCAGTCTCCATTTCCACCTCATTTGCTGTGGTGACAACTAGAACACCCTGACTGCCACTAACAATCTGGGGTTCAGTTCCAGCTACTGCCTGGATCAGAGCTGCTCCTGTCATCTTCCAAACTATCTCTGAAATGTTCACTCTTCAGCACTCAAATATTCGTCTCATATAAACGTGTTTTCAAATTGAGATATATATTGAGGGTATAAGATCATTGGTAGCGATACCGTCTTCATTCTCTCAAGTAAGTCGCTTAGTTTAGTACTCCATCAGGATACTAGGCGCCAACAGTTCAACATGATTGTCTCGTATTTTGATTTCGTATACACCACAGTAACAAAACTTGGTAAAATTATATGCATACTAATTCCTTTAAATTTCAATGTGAGTAATGTGTTACATTTCCAATACCTTTGCATTGGGCCTCCTCAGTTCCCGTTCCAGCTGCTACACCCCCAGTACCAGCAGGACAATCAGTGCACTGAGAAGCTCCCACTGCACTGTACTGGTTCTTCAGACATGTAGAGCAGGAGGCTGCTGTTCCTCCGACACTGTATTCTCCTGCCTTGCAAGTCAGACATCCCTTATCCTGGTCAAGGTAGTGTCCTCCGGCGCACGGCTCTGAAATTTCTACTTAGTTCGAGAATAAAGACATTGGAGTAATAATGTTTGGGACACAATTATTGGTTCTCTCCTATGACGGGTTACACATCAGGTGGTATTTAGAGGTTTTCTTCAGACCTTATGGCACACTTCTATTAGATCCACCGTTTAATGTGTTTCATTCTTTCATAATTCATTATTTTGATTTCGAATGCTGTGTGAAATTATTGTCAAGTGTCTCTTCCAGTATGCATGCTTCTTTCCCAAATGTTTATTGCGGTAAAGGTTTATTCATTTTATCGTCTGTTTTATTCTGCAACATCAGAAATTTAGCTCTTTACCAGGAATAGTTAGTTGCTCAAGAATTCTACAGGTTTAAGGTATATCTTTGTTATCATATTTCTAGGATTGCGTTTATTTATACAATAATTTAACGAGATTTTAATTAGCATGCATATATTGCTTAGCACAAATCCCTGGTCGAATTTACAGGATCGTGTTACAGAGGTTTCCATGCAGTTCACTTACTCCATTTGCAGTCAACCTCTTCTTTGCCATCTCCAGAAGCTACTCCCTTGCCAGAAGGACAATCGGTACACTTAGTGGCTTTATCAGCACTGTATGTATCCGCTTCACATTTTGTACAAGAATCAGCTGTTCCTCCAGCACTGAACTCCCCTGCTTCACAAGGTAAGCAACCTTTTGTAGCATCCACATAATAACCCCCAAGACAAGATTCTGAAAAAAATGACCTCTTATTTCTTCGGAAAAGAGCAGTGAAAGTACAAATGGTCAATCCATAGCTTATTCCATGATCACATAACTAGAGTACAATATAATAACCTTCACTATTAACTTACTGAAGGTGCAATCACTTTCTTGTTTTCCTCCTCCGGAAGCTACTACTTTACCAGAAGGACATGCAGTGCACTTAGTCGCACCCGCTTCACTGTAAGTGTCTGCCTCACATTTTGTACAAGAATCTGCTGTTCCCCCAGCACTGAATTCCCCTGCTTCACAATTGGTGCAGCCGTTTTCCTGATTTAGATACTGACCACCGGCACAGGCCTCTGAAAGTTATACTTAGTTCTAGGAATGAGGTCAAGTGAATATGAAAGCAGTGAAGTTTTGGTTTAAATACTAACCACCGACAAGAGCCTCTGAAAATGTTACTTTGTTCTAGAAATGGGCTCAAGTGAAAGCAGTGAGGTAATGCTGTAATGGTTTCCTAAATCAAAGACTAGACGATAAAAATAATTCCCTTACTCCAAGTGCAGTCACTTTCTAGTTTCCCCTGTCCAGCTGCCACCTCTTTGTCTGCCGGACAATTTGAACAAGTGGGACTCTTTGACCCGACCGGACTCCAATGATCCGCCAAACAGTTTTGGCACCCAGAAGATTGTTCTAGATACTGACCACCAGCGCAGCCCTCTGTAGATTATTTAAGTTAACCGCATTGATAAACAGTTCGGCGTAAGAAATTTCCAGTTTTCAGGTTGAGAATTCAGGGGTTTTTACAAAATTTCAACCCATGTCCTCAACAAACTCATTATCATCATAAAAGATACATTGAAATTTAGTAACTAGCTTACTCCATGTGCAATCATCCTCACTAGATCCAGCCCCAGCTGCCACTCCTTTGTCTGTAGGACACGGCGTACAAGTGGCACTAGTAGAGCCCGGGGAACCCCAGGTATCGGCGCCACAAAGCTGGCAACCAGTGGCTTGGTCAAGGTACTGTCCTCCATTTGTACACGGCTCTGTTGGTTTAAAGATGTTTACTATTTACATTTATAATTGTTTTGAACATTGTGGTTTTGCCTAGCATTTTCAAATTGGAGGTTTCTTTCATGCTGCCCAATTTTATTTCGTATTTTTATTAAATATAATTTTGCAATTTTAGCGAATCGTGCAGCCACTGTTAGAAAATTTAGGCTTTTAAGAGTGGATGCTATTAAAATGTTTAGTTCATGCACAATTGTTCTAAATAACTTTTTGGAAGTTTGGATGCATTCTTAGAATTCCATCCAAACTTAGTCTCATGCCTTTCTTTCAGTTTTCAGGCACTTAGCGTTAACAGCTGATTGAGTGGGTTGTTTTAACTTTTAATTTTCTTACTTCATTATTTAAAACTTTCCTCTGATTAATCAATTAATTCGTACTTACAGTTACTGGTAAGACATGTCAATGTACAGTTGATAGTTTGATATACAAGTTCGTTACTTCCTCACGACTAACTGTAAGTGTAACATATCTTACCTTTGCAAAGAGGGGCGGCATTACTCCACGCGAGGAGAAATACGTATCGTACCGGGGGTTAAATACGTATGAGATACAAGCCGTATTTTAACCTTGAAAAATACAAGATTTTCAGGATGTCATTTTTCTCCCGAAATATTAATATTTCGGTAAAACGTAAATGTGTGATTAAATTAACGCTCAGAGGGGGGGGGAGGGCCGGGGGGCCAAATCGTAGTTTGAATCTGGGCCAATCTTGAAAAACTTAACTGAGGTACTAGCAAAACTGAGCGTTCTGCTCTAGAAACACACTTTTTTAGAGATTTTACCGGCGTATACTCTAAAATCACCTAATTTGTTAAATTTTAGGGAGGGGCGCCAATGGCCGACAGGGGGACGCTTTTTCGGCGGGGAGCGCCAACAGGTAACGTTACGCCACTGCTTTGCAGTGCACTGTAAATTGATAAACATGCAACACTAACAGCAAGTAAGTAATAGAATAGTGGATTGTACACGACCAGCGTGTCAAAATTCAAACTCAAAGTCATGAAACACAAGTATGCGCGTGTTCCATGTTCGATCGATTACATGTTCGATTTGTTCCAGAATAATCTTGCGCATGTGGCATTGCCATTAAGTACAATGCTATTATTATGACGATAGAAATTACAATGAGGCAGCATTGATAATTATAATGAGGCGACATAGACGTGTACGCTGTTTAACATCTTATCCAAAAATTGATATCTTTTAAAAATTACTCATTAAATTCAACCGTATTTTGATAATTCATCAGCCCTGCACTTTTAGAAAAAATCTAAAAGTACGTATCATACAGGCGGTTTTACAAGTACGTACGATACGTATTTCACATCTTCACATAAGTATAATTTCACATCTTATAAACTAGAAGTTTATAATTTTCTGGTTCACCCGCACTATGATTTTTAACGAACAATTTTAGAAACCTTTAAATGACAAAATTTTCGGTATTTTTTTCTCTCTTAGACAAAAATGTTATTTAATAATTTATTAAGAGTCAACTAACTTAACCACTGTGAAATTAAAACGAGGTAAGTTTATAATTTGAATTTTGTACAAAACGATTTTGAATGGGGCTTCACTGTTACATTTAAAAACCCCATGCCTAACGAAGGTAAGGTGTACAAGATATTAACCATGCTATGCATAATGTTGATGATCGTGCACAATTTGAACCTTACAAATTACAACCGGTAAGGTTAACCTCCGGAAACCGCTCCGAGTGTCTTCGCTCTTATGAGAAATTTATAGAGACTATAGTCTTTTAAAATTTCTTCGGTCAAAAGTGGGCTATATAATGACAATCCTCTTCTAATATGCCCATTACATGAAGAGTCAACACAGTACGTAAATATTTGTATCAATGATTATTGATGCTATAAAATTACTGATTGATATTTAGGTACGTTATACGCATTATCTTCCAGGGCAAATGAGCTGATCATCAAAATGCTACCCATATAAGAGCATGAATGAACGACTTTTTCGTAGCGATCTTCTCCAGATTAATTGAACATTCTACAAACATTTGTACATCTGGCATCGGCCCGCAACTGTCGGGTAGTGAGAACAACCTGTTGGATAGCTACACCACGTTAATTATTTTTGACCAGAATAAAACACTAGTATTAGTAATGAATTGTAAAAGGCAGCGTGTGACGTCAAATAAATTAAATGCGCGAATTATTCGATTTTTTCTCACGATATTTGACTGGGCGGAGCCAGCCTGCCGCCCTGAGGTCCTCAGGTAAAAAATAATAACTTACCAGTAAGTACGAATTGATTGATTAATCAGAGGAAAATAATGAAGTAAGAAAATTAAAAGTTAAAACAACCCACTCAATCAGCTGTTAACGCGAAGTGCATGAAAACTGAAAAGGCATGAGACTAAGTTTGGATGGAATTCTAAGAATGCATGCGAGGTATATGATTTTTCTGTTCTGTAATGCTGTCCCTTCATGTAGATGTAATTCAGCTAGTAATTACTCCAAGTGCATTCACTTTCCAGTTCCCCTGTCCAGCAACACATATCAGCCCATGCATATTTATTGAGCTCTACTTACTCCAGTTGCAGTCACCAGCTTCTTTTCCAAAACCAGCACCTACTTCTTTTCCCGCTGTACAGACAGTGCAGGAAGCAGCTGTGTTTCCTGGACCACTCCAGTGATCTGCTGGACAGTTCTCACAACCGATGGCTTGATTTAGACGCTGACCCGCTTCACATGGTTCTGTAAGGTCATGTTAAAGTCAGACCTCGTACTTTGCTACGATATTCTGAGATCGTACCAACCACAGAGTCATGCTGTCAACCTCTACCTGTGCTTAACCTTCAGGTCCCACTTTTGAGATTGAACCAACTACCTGTGCTTAACCTTCAGGCTCCGCTTTTGATGTCTCATTTTGCATCTATACTATATTCTGTTGTCATTTTCTGTGTTCTTATTTCGTTTTTTCTGTGTGTGATGTGTACCAATCGTGTGATTAACTGATTATAGCGCTTCATTTAATTTCCATTTCAGTTTTCACTATTTCCAGTGCCTTGGCTGATTCATCTTTCGAAATCGTGTTCGAAATCTGTCGGGTCATTATTTCTTTGCTCGGTGTAACGTTGCAATATTCAGTTAACGATTTAGTCTCGTCTCGGGTATTTTTTCGAATATTTTGTTGGGTATTTTGATCAGCTGAAAGTACAATAAATTATTACTTCAAATTCAAACTTACTCCAAGTGCAATCAGCCTCGCTCGCTCCAGCTCCAGCAGCAACTCCTTTATTAGATGGACATTGTGTACACTGTGCAACCTGCCCTCCTGCACTCCAGTGATCTGCTAGACAATTCTTACAACCGGTCGCTTGGTCCAGATATTGGCCGCCACTACAGTCCTCTGAAGATAACATATCCGTGAGAGGGGTGTAAAAATATGGACTGTAGTCTGTGAAGTCTAAAGCGAAAGACACTAAACCATGATGTTTATAGTATAAGTAACATAGTGAAAGCCGTAAATGCGCCCAACATACTTAGAAAGTTAGGAAAATACTTACTCCATGTGCAGTCACCAGCTTGTTTTCCTAGTCCGGCGCCCACTCCTTTTTCCGCTGCACAAGCAGTGCAGGTCGTAGCCTCGTTTCCAGCGGCACTCCAGTGATCTGGTGGACAGTTCTCACAACCGTTGGTTTGATCTAGATGCTGACCCGCTTCACATGGTTCTGTAAATATAATAATTATTATAATATTATAGTAGGGAAAACAAATGAAGAGACTGCCATGCCATCCGAAAAAGGGACGTGATTACGAAATACAATCAGTAGTCCATTTGGAACACAAGGAAGTGTCCTTCTCGTCACATATTCGGACAGTCTTTCTTTAAATCGCCAGACTTGTCGCTCAGGTAAACGCAAGGTATGAGCCCTGAGCCACTACTCTTGTGCAAACATCCTTTTCAACTTTAAACCAAAGTTAAATAAGGAATTCTGGCCAGAGTTTCTCGAATCTAACACGGTAAATTAACATAAAGTTTTAGTTTTGAACTGCTAAGCACAAATATATGTGGCATTGTACGATAACGTATAAACATACTCCAAGTGCAGTCAGCCTCGCTCGTTCCAGCTCCAGCAGAAACTCCTTTTTCAGCTGGACATTGTGTACACTGTGCAACCTGCCCTCCTACACTCCAGTGATCTGCTAGACAATTCTTACAACCGGTCGCTTGGTCCAGATATTGCCCGCTACTACAGTCCTCTGAAGATAATGATGACTTACATTGTTATTACATTACATTGCTATTACATTACATTGCTATTACATACATTACATTGCTGTTACATTACCTGACTGAGGAAAACGAAGTACTAAAGAAGGATGATTATACACGATTAGAATGCATATTGCATACCCTTGGCCTGTCGAATCTACTTACTCCAGTTGCAGTCACCAGCTCCTTTTCCCAGTCCAGCACCCACTTCTTTTCCCGATGTACAGACAGTGCAGGAAGCAGCTGTGTTTCCTGATGCACTCCAGTGATCTGCTGGACAGTCCTCACAACCGATGGCTTGATTTAGACGCTGACCCGCTTCACATGGTTCTGAAAGCATTATTATTATGGTTATTTCTAATCGGCTATCATCTTGAGCTAATCAAAAATTATCTAAAGTAAAAAAGGAAATGAAATAGAATCACGAGGATTTCAGGTTGGATTTTTTAATGAAATTTTGAACTTACTCCAAGTGCAGTCACTTTCTTTTGTTCCCTTTCCAGCTTCCACCCCTTTAGCTTCAGGGCATTTAGTACACGATTCAAGCCAGACTCCAGCACCATAATGATCAGTTTCACAGTCCGTACAACTACCTTCTCTAGCATCCAAATACTGCCCGGGATTACACGCTGAAAGGGTCATTTATCAACGTCGTATTTAATAATGAGTAACCAGTTCATTCATGACGAATGAACAGCCGTGTCAACTTTCCAGGATACAATTCTATGAAAAAAGGTGAGCAGATTTATTATACAGTTATAAGATACAATTGTCTCCATACCAGTGATAATCCTGTATTCTACTGTGTAGATGTTCTCTAATGTGTAGCCATCATCATCATCCACCAATTTTAGTTTCATTTTCGTGACTTTAGCACGATTGCTTGTGAAGCTTGTCCATACAGCCGGACATGGTACAGTGCTTAGACTTGAAAATGTACCCTGCTCCCCTCCTTTGATTTCGACCAAGTAGTCTGTATTCAAATCTACAGTTACTTTTGAGGGGATTGATTTAAGCATTTCTGTTTTGGTCTCGTCGCATTGCTCAAATTCACTAGTATCATACAATGATAAAATATTGTTTCGACCCGAATGTGTGTTCCATTTATAGGTAAGCAATGCAATCTGTGAGCTTTGGCTATCTCGTTCAAAAACACCGGCTTCTACAGAAAATTCTAGGTCTGCGTTGTCATCTAGTTGGGTCAATTGTAATTGAAGTCGGTTGGTTGTGATGCTGAAATCGAGGTAATCTGTCGCCTCATTCCCATCGTTACCGTCTAATATCAACTCAATATAACCTTGAAATAGTAAATGTCAATTAATTAAATTACCTAAAATTTGGAGTGAAAAATGTCAGGTAATTCAAAGACCTAAAATTTTGGGTTTAAACTCTGAAAACTCTGAAACTGAACTGAAGGCACACAACATGTACCTGCTTACCATTAGTCAGTGAACTTCGGGTAATGAATATCAAAAACCATATCATACATGATAAAGTCGTGCTCATTCTATTTTTTCATCATTAGTTCATCATTACCTGAATTTGGAATACTTTTATATCGGACGTTATATCGGACGTTACAATAATGACTTTAATATTATATGTTACAAGACTCTAGACTGAACTGACTTCTGCCATAAACTCGATACTTGACCATGGCCGCTGGCTCGACTAGTGTTGCAAGAAGTGACCCTGACAGTTTCAACCGCCTTCAGAGTTGCCATAACCCAGAAGCAGGCAGAGCATCCTCATGGAAATGCTATCTACTATCTAGTTCCAGCCTCTCTTGAAAAGAAGCTCTACAATATACTATAGAGCCTAGGCCCATGGTAGTTCGTACCGTTTTAGTTCTCAATACTCTTTTCAAGTACATGCTCGTGAGATTCCCCACAATGTGAGACCAAGTTCACGTACCTGAGAGGACCCCCGGGCAGACTGCAGAGTTTCTAACTTGTTTATAAAGAGTATACCGCAGATTTGAGTCGGACAGAAGTCTGGAATAAACTCTCTGTTATAAGTTTGTAGTATACACATTACACAAGTGATCAGTGACAGAGTGAGCCTGATATAATCATATTGGTAAATTGTGATAAAACGAGTGTAAAAAGCACTCACACTAAGATATTCGAATAATTAAGAGTTTACTACTGACAACCTGACCTCATTTATTCTGCATATTGTGGATACTACTGACAACATGACCTCATTTATTCTGCATATTGTGGATACTACTGACAACATGACCTCATTTATTCTGCATATTGTGGATGAAAAAAATGGTACTGAAAACGGTTCTTTTGCGATAGTCAAAACGCGACAACTAGCGCTGGATAACGCTGGCCAGCGCAAAATATATATGTTCGATAATTGTCGCTATCCAGCGCTAGTTGTCGCCATACAGCGCTAGTTGTCGCTGGCTATGCGACACTGTCGCACGCGATAGTTTGCGAATGCCAGCGCAACTGGCCATCGCAGTAAACAGTTCGATAACTAGCGCTGGATAGCGACAACTAGCGCTGGATAGCGACAACTAGCGCTGGCCAGCGCTAAGCGATAGCCAGCGCAAAATTTTTGCGCTATTACCCGTCAGCTAGCGCTGGCCAGCGCTGGCCAGCGCTAACCAGCGCTAACCAGCGCTAACCAGCGCTAGCCAGCGCTAGCCAGCGCTAGCCAGCGCTAACCAGCGCTAACCAGCGCTAGCCAGCGCTAACCAGCGCTAACCAGCGCTGGCCAGCGCTAGCTGACGAGTAATATCGCAAATATTTGATTTTTATATTTTGCGCTGGCCAACGCTGGCTAGCGCTGGCCAGCGCTAGCTGACGAGTAATATTGCAACTATATTGCGCTGGCCAGCGCTGGCTGACGAGTAATACTATTAGTATTACTAATATCTAGCGTGCTAAATCACTCTGCAGTCGATCTTCGAGATTGTTCTAAAAGGGCCCCTGATAGTTGTAACCAACTTCAATCGATGTATTTATATAATTAATAATTACCGTTAGGGTTAGGGTTTCAGCATATGTTTTTGTTAAGGATTGGGTTATAGGATTGGGTTATAGGATTGGGTTAGGGTTGGGATCAGATTAGAGGGTTAGGGTTTCGAAAAGTCGTTCAGAACCAGCTAGAGTCAGAGAATGGGTAAAAAAGTCACGTGACAGTCGAGTGTAAAGTGATTAAATTTAATCATCATCCGAGTAATATCGCAAGTATATGATTTTGATACATTGCGCTGGTTAGCGCTGGCCAGCGCTGGCTAGCGCTGGTTAGCGCTGGCTAGCGCTGGCTAGCGCTGGTTAGCGCTGGCCAGCGCTAGCTGACGGGTAATAGCGCAAAAATTTTGCGCTGGATATCGATGGCCAGCGCTGGCCAGCGCTGGCTATCGCTTAGCGCTGGCCAGCGCTAGTTGTCGCTATCCAGCGCTAGTTGTCGCTATCCAGCGCTAGTTATCGAGCTGTTTTCTGCGATGGCCAGTTGCGCTGGCCATCGCAAACTATCGCGTGCGACAGTGTCGCATAGCCAGCGACAACTAGCGCTGGATAGCGACAACTAGCGCTGGATGGCGACAACTAGCGCTGAATGGCGACAACTAGCGCTGGATAGCGACAATTATCGAACATATATATTTTGCGCTGGCCAGCGTTATCCAGCGCTGGATAGCGACAACTAGCGCTGGATGGCGACAACTAGCGCTGGATAGCGCTAGTTGTCGCCATCCAGCGCTAGTTGTCGCGTTTTGACTATCGCAAAAGAACCCTGAAAACCGAATAAAACATTTTACTTTGTTTGGGCCCTCGCTAAAAACAATTTGCACTCCTAAAACTCATCTCACCAACTAAAGGGACGGTACTTAAATGCAGGTTTGTGAAATTCTACAGCTGACTTCTGAAGAAACCCACCGTTTAAGAACAACTTCACGTCACTTAACATCGTGTAGATGTGTTCTCATGAAGTTAAACGGTGTTATGTGTCTTTTAAGCGGAGATCATCAGTGTTTTTAAACGGTGACTGGTGGTTGCTCCAAATCTCTTAGTTCTTACAGCCAAAATTGTGATTTAGAATGTACCCAAAAACACGAAAAAAGTAACGAAATGTTACTGTAAATCTTAGAAAAAAGTTTTGGAGAGAAGTAACGAACACGAAATGTCAAATATATGAAGATAAAAGATCGCAAAAATATATAAACTTAGTATCAAGCAAGTGTTCGGGTCCCGAGTGATCAACAATTAAACTACCAACAGATTATAAATATAAGTTAGCAATGCATAATTGTCGCAAAGTCGGCTTTAATTTGATTATTTTGGGTCAGACTGATCAATAACGTGAGGTTCGAATGTTCGAAAGTATAAAATAAACTACCAAGAAATAATGCCGCTTGCATTTCTTACTTCCTAGAATCCAAGGCTATTCTAATTGTTTTTCATGTTCACTGTGCGTGCTTGCCACTACCACACAAGACATTTACATAAATATTTGTTAACCATTGGATAGCACTAGCTTGGAAAAGTCGTGTTTTCCCGGTGGTGAGCTTCATAGCACGAAAAAATGTACATATTTTATGCGGCCGCTGCGGATATCAAATATATCGCATAATACTGAAGTGCTATAAAGAAACTAGCGAACTAGGTCCCTAGGTTATCAGATATTTAGGCTATCAGATATTTAGGGACTAACCTATCACCCATTAATTGTCCGGCCAATATTTTGAACGATTATTTGATGGCCCACTCTTCACTTGTCCATTCGAAAATAAATCAATAAACAGCAAGGTCAATAAAGAGTGTGTATAGTGTATGTGTAATGTGTATTGTGTAAACGGTATCGGTATGATCATACCCAACTATTCAACAAAGCAATGCTTGAATGCTATGTGATGGTAACATTAAAGGAACTGAAATAAAAGAAATTACATTAGTGCTCCTCTTCCTTTTATCATGGCGACCATTCTAAGCAAGAAGAAGTACATAATGTTGTGAAATACATACATACTTTGGGCTCTTGTGTCATTAATTTCTGTACGTACTTTCCAAATAATAGGCTGGAATAATAGGAGCTTACTACATTTTTTGATAGAGAGATCAGTGATTGTCTCATCGAATAGTTTCTAGTTTTAGCAGCTTAAACATCGAGCATGCATTGACGTTAATTGTGTATTAATGCCTTAAAAACTGACATTTGACATGCATTTTCAGTAATTATGGGACGATGGCCCTCTAAAATACCTCTGAATATTGACTATAACAAAATCAGAGGCTGCACAGAGGCTGCAGTGAGGCTGCAGTGAGGCTGCACAGAGGCTGCAGTGAGGCTGCACAGAGGCTGCACAGAGGCTGTACAGAGGCTGCACAGAGGCTGCACGCTTCTGTCGCTCCTAGTCTTATGTCATACATTTTATCGAGACAGAAATATACATTGTACATCATTCTAGGTGAGTAGGTGGGGCTCCTGAAAAACGGTCTGACTGATGAGTGACTGATGAATAACTTAATACAAATGAATAATGATCTGGACCGTGTAAGAAGTAAAACCAACATCAACAAATACCATCTTGCATGAAATACACCGATTATCACAAACACACGGTACACACTGGGGATAGAACGCAAAATGACAATTGATTTCTGAATAAACGGCATTCATACCTCCGGAGCTTCTAGGAACAAAAATAAGAGCGTACTAAACCACACAGTAAAGCAACACGCCCTATATGCCGGAACACAAGTGGGGTTTGTGCTGTAATAACTTTACGTAAAGCGGTCTATGAGCTTATCCTAGACCACCTCGTAACACAAATATTGGAGGTCATAGGTCAGCTACTGTAAATACACTACTAATCACTTAATCTTATCCGGGATTGGTAGATATAAGATACCGACAGGTTTATAGTACCAGAGACTATGAGTCGTCACTCGTGTACCGTCCAGACTCCAGATATGGTAAAGCTGAAAAACTAACGCAAGTTTCGACAGTATTATTATTAGCGTACGCTGTTTTGCAGCATGAGATGATGGATTATGCGATTAAATGTGGTCATTGATCCCTACATCCTTTATTAGATGTAACTGGTAATATGATCAGGGGTTGTATCACTTCTCAAGTTTTAAGAAACCTCAGTCCTAAAATCAGAATAGTATAGGGGCTGTTTATAGAAATAGTCCGTACAATAAAAGCTTTTAAAATCAATATCATGTCGCTGTAATCTTGCAAAGCATGGAATTTATATATTTTGCAATGAATAAGAACTGAATAAATAGATAATGAATAAAGGTGGACTTTATATCCAAGAAAAAAAAGCAAAAATTGCGATATGCCGTATCAATTACATTAAGTCGACGTTGGATCATTAATTAATTAGGCAGTATACAGCCGTTTAGCTTGTTAACGAGCCATTAATCCATTACACACCCTCGTGTAAGCTAATCAAGTTATCAGTCTACTAATTTATTGTGGTTTTTATCGGTTACATTTCTAAACTACTATTCGCCATATACGGTATAATCGGACGCATTTCAACTGCTAAAAAGTCACACTAAATAGATAAAAGCCTGAATTAATGTTCATCAAATATTTTATCAATTATTAATCATGTGAAGACTAACTCTATAGAGTCTAGGATCACAAGAAGGAATGACAGAATCAAATTTCTGATCTGTGATCAACATGTGATCATCATACTTAATATGTCGTCAAAATTCTTGCACACTCCTTTTCAAGTGGAGAAACACTGCCACAAATAACAATCAATTAACAAGAAAAAAAAAGCTATTAAGTTTTAAGACAAAACATTTACTTCTAACGCAAACTTTTAAATATAGCGCTGGCAAAAGCCATTGGTATATTACTGTTAAGTCAATCAAAATTGCACAATAGAAAAATATCATCGTAGCATGTAGTTAAATTGCTGTTCACATAACGTATTTACTATTTACCTACTTAAGCGTAAAAGATGGCCTGGTCATTGCTTTATTGAACAGAATGAAATTTAACAGCTTAAAGGATTTCAAGATGAAACGGGTTTAACTAAAAACTACAAGCACAACTGCAGCGATACCGATGATGGTAAGACAAACATTATCATCGTTACTGAGTATTAAGACTGAGGTACAGTCCGCAATTCCACGAGGAGCTCAAGAATTTACACACTTTTCCTTTGACAATCTTAACATTTTGAAGTCACAAAATGTTAGCTTTACATCCTCCTCATTGAATAATTAGCTACCTTACAACCCGTACACCAGCTACAAGGTGTTATTTATACTGTTAGCACTGTTACCTTATGTACTACTTTACTATCATACTACTATGATATATTTCAAAGCATTATATTTTGACACGTTATGTATACATTTTGTTTGTTATATTCATATATTATAATCACTACCTTTGTCTTCTACAGCATCCACTTTTTCCTTTCGTTTCCACCAGCTCGTCTTCTAAAATTCCTTTAGTAAATGGGGTCAGTCACTGAGTCATGTTTAATTTTAAGACCTAACTTCTGGTGCAAACATCTATACTCTATAAGCATGATAGCGCTGGCAAAAGTCCATGAGTCGATCAAAATAGAAAAATATCATCGTAGTTATAAATCAAATTACCATTGTCCACATAACTTATTATAACGTGAAATCATTCTAATAAAATCAACATTGTGCAATTGCAGTTTGCACAGCTCAAAGGTTGTCACAAAGTGTAGTCCAAAAGCTGGACTGAAACGATACAATGCAATGTTGATATCCGCGAGCAATTTCATGAGGAATTTATACACAAGGTTCCTTTGACGATCTAAACGACACAACTGACAACATGTTAGCTTTACATTTTACACACTCTTCAATTGTCAAATATTTTTACATCTACCACACGCACATTCTACAAGGTACTGCTTCTCATACCTTAATACTGTTAACTACTGTTAAATACTGTTAAATACTGTTAACTACTGTTAACTACTGTAAAGTGTGGTAATTACTGTAAAGTGAGGTGGTACTGATGCTATCTTGCAATACTCAATAGTCAAATGAAAGAATGAACGGAACCTAACTGAATTATATTGCAGCTTCACTCGTACAGCTAAATTTACAAAGGGACTCAAACTATTAGGCTTACAGCTAAATTTACACTTTTACGGAGGGTCAAGACTCAAGAGGTACCAATAATGATCTTACTATAATTAAACCTATTGTTTTACTATATGAGGAAGACTTAAGCTCGGTGACAACACCCCAGCACTCCATCATTGTTTTACCCACAACTCACAAGTGTAACTTTATTCTAAGTTTTAACGACATTGTTTTTGTCGATAAATTTCCACGTCAGTGTACTACTATGAGGTAATATGTGTAAATGACGTAGTTTCTTATTCAACTATGCAATGTAAAAACAGGACCATACATTTTAGCGCTGTTTTGGTTATAAAACGTTTGAAAACTGATTTGAAAATTAATTAATGCATTCAAACTACAAAATATGTTCTGGAACAAACAATCTTTGTTCAGATGCCAAATAGAACTGTATAAGTTAAGTGTTCGTTCAATGATATTAAAAAATTAAAACTTTAAAACTCCAATGAGAGTATTAGAAGTATTGCAACTATGGACAGTCTGCGTTTATTTGTCTCAACTATGAATAGATAAAAACCATTTCGTCATTCATCGAGAAACTGAAAGGTCGTCATCAACTTAAAATTGAACAAAAGATAATTGCAATACATCAACCATCAAAGTCGATAAATACAATGAACTAGTTATTCAGAAAAATTTAAACTTTTACTGCTGATGTAGACTCGCACCGCATGCACTTGCGTCATTCAGCGACATCATCACCGCAACCATTACACAAACACAACGTTACTCAAACATTGATGTCGAAAGATAATGCAACTTTCTAATAAATTATGCAAAATTTTAACAGCACTAGACCGACATGATCAAAGGAATTTAAACTACATAAAATATTTAATCATGCACAGCAAAATAATTTTTTATGATCTCTTTCTGTTCTGGTCAACGGTTACGCCAGTAACTGTTAAGAGGAAGGTCTTATCGCCGTGCCCACAGAATGCAATTCCTGCTAGCTGCATGCCAGGACTCCCAAAGTATATACTATATACGAAATCATAAATAATTTGTTATGTTATAACATTAATGCACAAGATAAGAATCTTTTAAAACACCGTTAACATGCTTGACAGAGTTTTGAAATCTGGCGAACATGAATCGTGAAGATGGAAAACACGTACCTCTCACATCCCTTGATAAGAGAACCCCCCCCCCCCCCCCCCCAACAAATGACCCCGGACTAAACTTTCGAAGAGCTGTTTTCTACCGATGAGCAACAATTACAAACAAGATACAAGGGCAGGTCTCTCCCACAAGTTGGGATGGCCTGAGGTGCTTATCTCCTTTTCAGTAACCCTAAGCCACTCTGTGCCCGTGCACTAAACTAGATGTAGGGGGGTTAGTCCTACGAGCCAGAGAGTGTGTATCACCAGCCGAAGCTGTACCTAATCACAGCTTGGTAACTGGCCGACTTGCATCCGACCGGATTTATAGAACCCGGGCCTTCTGCTTTAACAGGTGATACTCGTAAAATATCTGTTCCATATCGGCGCGCGTCCTGGTAAGTTGTAAACCTACAACTTCTGCTTGGGAGGCGATCGTGTTACCACTACACTCGTGTTACCACTTCACCACCCAGCCGACACGACCCAACCGATGAGCAGCTACAGTAAAACCTCGATTTACCGCGGAGTTTGGGGAAAGGAAACATCCGCGGTAAATCGGGGTCACAGTAAATCGGGGTTTTGTTTGGTTTACATTATGTATGTTTATCCCTATTTGGAGGAAAGCCGGAAAGGAAATGGCCGCGGTATATCGGGGTTTTGCTGTGTATCCGAGTGCAGCGGTTGGGGTCACAACTCCACGCAGACTGCAGAGTTTTGGGACGAATCGGGGAGACTTGTAATTTATACAGAGATCAGCCTTTCTGGACAGCACCAGTACTGTGCAAAAAGAAACCACACGATCTTACTGGAAATGAAAGGTCAAAACCCCGATTTACCGAGTTTCTCTCCCCAAAAGATCGGGGTTGTACTGTATTTATAAACCCATAAGTATAACCCCCCCCCCCCCCCCCCCCCTCCTTAAACTACATAAAACATTTAATCATGCACAGCAAAATAATTTGTTATGTTATAAAGCACAAGTAAAGATAAGAATCTTTTAACACACCTCTAACATCATAACATGCTTGACAGAGTTTTGAAATCTGGCGAACATGAATCGTGAAGATGGAAAACACGTACCTCTCACATCCCTTGATAAGAGAACCCCCCCCCCCCCCCCCCCCCCCCCAAACAAATGACCCCGGACTAAACTTTCGAAGACCTATTTTCTACCGATGAGCAACAATTACAAACAAGATACAAGGGCAGGTCTCTCCCACAAGTTGGGATGGCCTGGGGTGCTTATCTCCTTTTCAGTAACCCTAAGCCACTCTGTGCCGAGGCACTAAACTAGATGTAGGGGGGTTAGTCCTACGAGCCAGAGAGTGTGTATCACCAGCCGAAGCTGTACCAAATCACAGCTTGGTAACTGACCGACTTGCATCCGACCGGATTTATAGAACCCGGGCCTTCTGCTTTAACGGGTGATACTCGTAAAATATCTGTTCCATATCGGCGCGCGTCCTGGTAGGTTGTAAACCTACAACTGCTGCTTGGGAGGCGATCGTGTTACCACTACACTCGTGTTACCACTTCACCACCCAGCCGACACCACCCAACCGATGAGCAGCTACAGTAAAACCTCGATTTACCGCGGAGTTTGGGGAAAGGAAACATCCGCGGTAGATCGGGGTCCACAGTAAATCGGGGTTTTGTTTGGTTTACATTATGTATGTTTATCCCTATTTGGAGGAAAGCCGGAAAGGAAATGGCCGCGGTATATCGGGGTTTTGCTGTGTATCCGAGTGCAGCGGTTGGGGTCACAACTCCACGCAGACTGCAGAGTTTTGGGACGAATCGGGGAGACTTTTAATTTATACAGAGATCAGCCTTTCTGGACAGCACCAGTACTGTGCAAAAAGAAACCACACGATCTTACTGGAAATGAAAGGTCAAAACCCCGATTTAACGAGTTTCTCTCCCCAAAAAATCGGGGTTGTACTGTATTTATAAACCCATAGGTATAACCCCCTCCCCCCCCCCCCCCTCCTTAAACTACATAAAACATTTAATCATGCACAGCAAAACAATTTGTTATGTTATAAAGCACAAGTAAAGATAAGAATCTTTTAACACACCTTTAACATCATAACATGCTTGACAGAGTTTTGAAATCTGGCGAACATGAATGGAAAACACAGTCTACATTTTATTTACGAAGGGATCGTTCTCACATTACGTAAGCGAGCCTAGGGAGGAGGGGTTTTGGAAATGCTAACCGCTGTATTATTCTAAAATCTGGTTTAACTAATAATATGTGAAGTTTTCATTTTTGGTCCAGATACCGTTAATACTTATTCATTTAACAAGTTGTTTGCAAAATAATTGAGGACGATGAGCACTGGTATTAATAATTTATTTAGAGACAAAAAATCAATTCCGCCAGCCAACAAATGACCCCAGACTAAACTTTCGAAGAGCTGTTTTCTACCGATAAGCCTAGGTATATCCGAGTGCAGCAGTTTGAGTCACAACTCCTCGCAGACTACAGAGTTTTGGTACGAATCGGGGAGACTTGAGGATTTGTAATTTATATAGTATTAGCTTATTAGTAGGCAGGCAAATAACCACTGGCACTTAGTCCGGAGATCAGCATTTCTGGACGGCGCCAGTACAGCTGTGCAAAGAGAAACCAGATGATCTTACTGGAACCGAAAGGTCAAACCCCCGATTAACCGAGTTTCTTTCCCCAAAAAATCGGGGTTGTACTGTATTTATAAACCCACAAGTATGACCTCCACCACATAGATTAATTTGTGTTGAACAATCAGGACGTACGCTTCAAATTAAACTTCAAATCATTTTGTTCGAATGGAAATTAAGGATAGAAACGTTCAATGAGCAACAATTTGAATTAGAAAAAAAAAGTAAAACATATCATACAAACAAACTACTATTTACAGTTCTCACTCCACTAATACTAAACAGTGCAAAACCCGGCCGTATCCAAGAAGCCCGTCGCGATAGTGGAATCCCACTACTGCAGTGGCCAGTGGTGCACTTTTTGTATACCACGAGAGGCCCGGAATATAGTTTGTACTGTATATGGTAGAGGAAGTCCACTATCTTGTATTTTGTAATGTGGCTTCCACTATCTTGTAGTGGGGCTTCCACTATGATGGCGTCGAGCTTCTTGGATACTGCCCAAAACCCCTGCATTCGAGCATGCCTTTTGTTCTACGAAGTACTATACACAAAGATTTATAAAATTATTGATCATAATTCTTACTCATATCCTAATTTGTCAACAAGTTCATTCTATGAAGAAACAAAATATAAAGCTAAATGCTAGAAGGACGAGGAAATTTGTCCTGAACAGTCTTCTGGTTCCGGAATCCGTTTCCTCTCCATCTGAAAAACGTAAATTTGAAGCTAAATCACGTGTCGGTGTAAGTAACTTCAGTTATTATTAAAAGGAAATAGGCGACCTGCCAACTGCTTTTCAATGGGGATCAGCGAGATTTACTGAAATTGGAATTATAAAAGATGCACTGGCCAGCTAAATTGACATAATTTTATCAAGCGCACAGAGGGGTAGAGAGCAACATTTTAAACATATACCTGAGCAAGGATTATCGTTACAAGATTGACTATCCGAACTGTCCCCCTCACATTCAGCCCCATCATTAGCCGGGCTAGGATTATTACAGATCCTGGTTCTGGTCTGGGAACCTCCTCCGCAATCAGCTGAGCACGTGGACCAGGACCGGTACGTGCTCCAGCCCCCGTTAACTGATGGTTATTAGCTTTAGGGATCAGTAAGTACTGGAACTAACTGGAATATGCGTAATTATAATTATATAGCCTCTTATTATTATATAATAGTCATGGCTATCATTCTGACGGACTTTATTGGTGCGCTCTGACGAATTTTCAAAATCGCAATATCACAGTGCTGGCAAGCACGACCGTTGCATTTATTGTGGGTATACTATGTTCCCCATTTACTATTATACCCCCTTTACTATTATACCCCCTTTACTATTATACCCCTTTTACTATTATACCCCCTTTGGTACACGTTACAAGCCTCTTTTGTGCACGCGAAGCGTGCACTCCGGCCGGAGGCGGCGGCCGAAGGCCGCCGCCTCCGGCAGGAGTTTTCCAGGCATTAAGACTCATCGGAAGTCGTTCAGCAGATTATTTTTAGTTCAAAACATTCTAATTTGATGTCAAAGATGACAGGAATAAAAAATAGTTATGTTCAGATTTTTAAGAAATTTGCATAAAATACTCGCCAGCACTGTTATACGAAATTCGGTAAAAAACCCAAAATCGCCATATTCAGGTGCCCTAAAAACCATGTTAAAATTGAGTTAGAGATCTGAAATTTTTCAGGGCGTCTAGACGTTGACCAAATTGACTGCAAAAAAAGTTTCAGGTTTCAGGAGCATCGGGAAATGGGTTTTCTAGAACCCCTGTTTTACGACAGATTGTCGGGACATATACATACAGATATACAGATATATATATTTGACCAAAACCCATAATCATGGGTAGAGTGGACCGCTGCCAGTGTCTCTCTTTCCCAAACAAAAGGAAATGATATTAATTTGATTGACCGTTCTCAAATGCAAAATGATACCGAGAATGAAATCGGTCGCTCGCTTTTCCCATTCATTCACGGCTTACGAATTGTAATAAGTTTCGATTGATTAGGTACATCAATCAGATGCTGTAAAAATCTCTTTGGGTTGCGTTCGGGTCGATACTAGTATTTCGGGGTAAGGGTGGTAGTTATTACTTATTGAATTAGCTGAAGTTTATTGAATCTTTATTGCTGAGTACAGCTGCCTTTGGGTAGTTCTTCTTAATCTATTACAATTGTAAATGAATGGGAAAAGCGAGCGACCGATTTCATTCTCGTATCATTTGCATTTGAGAACGGTCAATCAAATTAATATCTTTCCTTTTTTTTTGGGAAAAGAGAGACACGGACGGCCCCATTTAAACCCATGATTAGGGGTTTTGGGTAAAATATCATCCTTTTTGATTAAAAAGCGGGGACTTTATAAAGCAAAATAAAACTGTATCTTTTTAATAAGGAGGAAGTTTCAAAAATTTTCAAAATTTTCCTTTAAAAACTTTTTCTTTTTTTTAGGTGGGCATATCGGGATCGAAAACCCCCAAAAACCTTTTTTGAAAAATTTTTTGCCCAAAAAAATTTTAAAACCTAAAAAATTCCAGGGTTTTGGGGGATTTTAAATTTTTTCCCTTAAATTTTATTAATGACATAAACTTGTAAACCAGGGAAACCATATTTCAAAGCTGTTCCCCGGGAATTAAGTTGGAAACGACAGAAATTTAGAGCCACAATTCTCACTCCTTTCGCAACGCTAAGCAATTTTTGGAAGCGGAGACAGATGGCGATTGAAAATGAGTTTTATAGCACAATGTACTGTAATTTTATACCCACAAGTATGACCTCCACCGATACATAGATTAATTTATGTTGAAGCAATCAGGGACCGTACGCTTCTAATAAACTTCAAATCATTTGGTTCGAATGGAAATAAGGATAGAAACGTTCAATGAGCAACAATTGAATAGAAAAAAAAGTAAAACATATCATACAAACAAACTACTATTTACAGTTCTCACTCCACTAATACTAAACAGTGCAAAAACCCGGCCGTATCCAAGAAGCCCGTCGCGATAGTGGAATCCCACTACTTGCAGTGGCCAGTGGTGCACTTTTTGTATACCACGAGAGGCCCGGAATATAGTTTGTACTGTATATGGTAGAGGAAGTCCACTATCTTGTATTTTGTAATGTGGCTTCCACTATCTTGTAGTGGGGCTTCCACTATGATGGCGTCGAGCTTCTTGGATACTGCCCAAAACCCCTGCATTCGAGCATGCCTTTTGTTCTACGAAGTACTATACACAAAGATTTATAAAATTATTGATCATAATTCTTACTCATATCCTAATTTGTCAACAAGTTCATTCTATGAAGAAACAAAATATAAAGCTAAATGCTAGAAGGACGAGGAAATTTGTCCTGAACAGTCTTCTGGTTCCGGAATCCGTTTCCTCTCCATCTGAAAAACGTAAATTTGAAGCTAAATCACGTGTCGGTGTAAGTAACTTCAGTTATTATTAAAAGGAAATAGGCGACCTGCCAACTGCTTTTCAATGGGGATCAGCGAGATTTACTGAAATTGGAATTATAAAAGATGCACTGGCCAGCTAAATTGACATAATTTTATCAAGCGCACAGAGGGGTAGAGAGCAACATTTTAAACATATACCTGAGCAAGGATTATCGTTACAAGATTGACTATCCGAACTGTCCCCCTCACATTCAGCCCCATCATTAGCCGGGCTAGGATTATTACAGATCCTGGTTCTGGTCTGGGAACCTCCTCCGCAATCAGCTGAGCACGTGGACCAGGACCGGTACGTGCTCCAGCCCCCGTTAACTGATGGTTATTAGCTTTAGGGATCAGTAAGTACTGGAACTAACTGGAATATGCGTAATTATAATTATATAGCCTCTTATTATTATATAATAGTCATGGCTATCATTCTGACGGACTTTATTGGTGCGCTCTGACGAATTTTCAAAATCGCAATATCACAGTGCTGGCAAGCACGACCGTTGCATTTATTGTGGGTATACTATGTTCCCCATTTACTATTATACCCCCTTTACTATTATACCCCCTTTACTATTATACCCCTTTTACTATTATACCCCCTTTGGTACACGTTACAAGCCTCTTTTGTGCACGCGAGGCGTGCACTCCGGCCGGAGGCGGCGGCCGAAGGCCGCCGCCTCCGGCAGGAGTTTTCCAGGCATTAAGACTCATCGGAAGTCGTTCAGCAGATTTATTTTTAGTTCAAAACATTCTAATTTGATGTCAAAGATGACAGGAATAAAAAATAGTTATGTTCAGATTTTTAAGAAATTTGCATAAAATACTCGCCAGCACTGTTATACGAAATTCGGTAAAAAACCCAAAATCGCCATATTCAGGTGCCCTAAAAACCATGTTAAAATTGAGTTAGAGATCTGAAATTTTTCAGGGCGTCTAGACGTTGACCAAATTGACTGCAAAAAAAGTTTCAGGTTTCAGGAGCATCGGGAAATGGGTTTTCTAGAACCCCTGTTTTACGACAGATTGTCGGGACATATACATACAGATATACAGATATATATATTCAGGGATAGACGCTTTGCCAGTCAATTGTAGCCTGTATTTAAGTGTCCATAGATTCAAAAGTATAAAAGATACAGCCATTTCCGACCACAGGTCTTGCAAATAATTGTTTACACTTTAGTTTACATTGTATAAAAAATTTATTTGACGTCATAAACACCCCTTGATGACGTCATCAAGTTAACCGTTTTTAAAACTTGATTTTTGACAAAGTAATAACTTTTAAAATTAATTTTAACCCATTAAGGAGTAATTTTATTCAAAATCTGAGGAAATTTCATCTTAGATAATTGTTCAAGCATTCTGAAAATCTACCGGAAAGTTTTTCTAGCTTGCTCCTTCATAAAGATATTTGTCATTGAAGTTTGTGCTTTTTTGAAGAATTATTTTATAAAAACGTCAATTTTGCGATTTAGTATTCTTTGGTGTTGGGCCATGCCTTGGGTTGTGGAGCTCAGTTCTGCTTCCTATAGGTATAAATTGTGCATTATGCTAGTTTTAAAGTTGAAAATCGAAAAGTTGCACACGTGGGGACACGCCCAAATTGATAGAAAATTGCTAAAATCACTGAAAATTGCTGTTTTCGTCATTTTCTGTCAACTTTAGAGTGCCGTTGTGATTACAGTTCTTCTTGAAATACTTTGAAACTTTGCATGCTTATCAAGCTATATATAAAACAATTACATACAAAAATTTACGGCGATTCAATATTGGATGCGCATGCAACGTCCGCTCAAAGTTTGCACGTGCGAAAGGTGAGAATTTTGCTCATTCGTGATTTCCAACAAATTCTGCTTTGCCACGACAGTTTAATGTCATTATATATGAATTTAATGTCAACTTGAATGAGTATTAAGTGGTATATTCAGTCAGTGATGGACCGATATGCTTACCTAAACACAAGGAAATGTTTTTAAAGGAAAAATTTCGAAATCGTTGAAACTTCCTCCTTATTATAATGAAGATATCAGTTTATATTTCGACTTTATAAAGTACCCTGACATTATAATCAAAAAGAGATGATATTTTACCAAAACCCATAATCATGGGTAGAGTGGACCGCTGCCAGTGTCTCTCTTTCCCAAACAAAAGGAAATGATATTAATTTGATTGACCGTTCTCAAATGCAAAATGATACCGAGAATGAAATCGGTCGCTCGCTTTTCCCATTCATTCACGGCTTACGAATTGTATAAATAAGTTTCGATTGATTACATCAATCAGATGCTGTAAAAATCTCTTTGGGTTGCGTTGGGGTCGATACCTAGTATTTCGGAGTAAGGGACAAGGGTGGTAGTTATTACTTATTGAACAAGCTGAAGTTTATTGAATCTTCATTGCCGAGTACAGCTGCCTTTGGGTAGTTCTTCTTAATCTATTACAATTGTAAATGAATGGGAAAAGCGAGCGACCGATTTCATTCTCGGTATCATTTTGCATTTGAGAACGGTCAATCAAATTAATATCATTTCCTTTTGTTTGGGAAAGAGAGACACTGGCAGCGGTCCACTCTACCCATGATTATAGGTTTTGGTAAAATAACAGAATAGAAATAATGAAGAATGAAATTTAATTTAATCGTATGTTTAACATGTATGTTTAAGTTGATTTTTTTTTTTTTAATTAAACATTTTACAGGTCCTGTACTTCATAAATATTGCGACAACACTATATTATGCAACGCGCAACGCACATACCTTGTAGGTACCACCCGTATTCACACTCAGACCTGAGTTCAGGTAGTAATTTTCTATAAACAAACAAACAAACATATGCAACGCATATTATACGCTCTGACATGTGTTAGGAGTCATTGTAATTATATTATAACATAGAATTCTCATTCAATTGCTCTGATTGATGTTTTTGATTATTTTTATCGTCTTAACTGGATTTTAGAATAAAAGGGAACTAATAAAGATTAATGCAAACATTTAGATAATTTTTAACTTTATTTCAATATCATGATTATATAAATTACACAATCATAACATTAACAATAACTAACTATAATCAAAAATAAAAAGGCAGTGAAAAAAAGTGGCCAGAAAATCGTTGATGTTGTCGCACTGATCGCTGTCGTAAACCTCCACCTCCTCTAAGTCTACTCTGGTTGTTCCGCTCCGGCGCTCCTCTCGAGGTCGGACCATCGGTTTGTCGGTTACTGGACGGTGCCAGCTTCTCTCCGCCACTGTGGAACAGCTGAGTCTGAACTACCCAGGTAATCTGTTTGCTATCTTCTGGTCCGTTAGTGATCCTTGCTTTAATGTAGTCGCATTATAACGTTGTAGCGATAAAGTGTGGTTACCTGTAGGGTTGAAACTTACCCCTTATAGCGGTGCAATCACTTTCTTGTTTTCCTTCTCCGGAAGCTACTACTTTACCAAAAGGGCATGCAGTGCACTTAGTCGCACCCGCTTCACTGTAAAAGTCTGCTTCACATTTTGTACAAGAATCGGCTGATCCTCCAGCACTGAATTCTCCTGCTTCACAAGAAATGCATCCGTTCTCCTGATCTAAAAATTTACCACCGGCACACGCCTCTGGAAATTAAATTTCTGTTTAATTCTCGATAACAGGAACCAAGTTTTTTTTTCTAGAATAAATTGTGATACTTGATTAACACAAAGGAACCGGCAGCAGAAGAAACTACTCCAATAATATCAACTCACTCCATGCACAGTCACTTTCTTGCTGTCCTTCTCCTGAAGCAACTCCTTTTTCAGAGGGACAATCAGTACACTCAGTGACTCCAGCAGCACTATATTTGTCTGCTTCACAATCCGTACATCCATTCTCCTGATCGAGATATTTACCAGCAGCACAAGGACCTGAGATTCAGTAAGTTAGTCAATCACTTTTTTATACATTATCAACCTTCCACAAACATGAGCATTGAGCAAGCGGCACACGAAGCTACTCAAATTATTGAAACTTACTCCATGAACAGTCATCCTCTTCTTTGCCTTCTCCAGAAGCTACTTCTTTATCAGAAGGACAATAAGTACAGTTAGTCGCACCCGCTTCACTGTAAAAGTCTGCTTCACATTTTGTACAAGAATCTGCTGTTCCTCCAGTACTGAAGTCCCCTGCTTCACAATCAGTACAGCCGTTGTCCTGGCTTAGATACTGACCACCAACACAAGCCTCTGAAAGTTACATTTCTATTAAGTTCTAGATCTCGTAAGGCCGAACGCGATTTTTTAAATTTGTAGTGTTTAGTGGGAAGCATCACGGTTATCGAGAGCCGTGATGGTTCATATTAAATACTACAATATTTAATTCTAGAAAATGGGAATCTAGTTTTACTGTTCTAGAATATTTTGTGATACATCAACATGATTAACTTTAACCAAAAAGAAGGAACAAATCCTATTTTGTTTACTCACTCCATATACAGTCACTTTCTTGCTGTCCTTCTCCTGAAGCAACTCCTTTTTCAGAGGGACAATCAGTACACTCAATGACTCCAGCAGCACTATATTTGTCTGCTTCACAATCCGTACATCCATTCTCCTGATCAAGATATTTACCAGCAGCGCAAGGACCTGAGATTTAATAAGGTAGTCAATCAATTTGTAATAAATAGAATTTGTCATGGTTGCAAGTCTTCATCATGGCTGAATAAAGGGAAATACAAATACCGCAATAGTTCGAGAAATAGATAACTTACTCCAAGTGCAATCACTTTCTTGTGTTCCCTTTCCAGCTTCCACCCCTTTATCTTCAGGGCATTTAGTACAAGATTCGAGCCAGACTCCAGCACTATAATGATCAGTTTCACAGTCCGTACAGCCATTGTCGCTCACATACTGCCCAGGATCACACGCTGAAAGACAAGAAATGTTTGTAAAAATTCTCAGACTAAGGCAAGGGATGCTCGTAAACACTTTGACCATGAAGACTTGGTAGACGATGCAGTAAAGTTTTCATCACCATTTGACTGGGTATGGTGGAATAATTTAAACTATTCTATACGTTGGCTTAGGAAATTAAATTTCAAGTTGATAATTAGTAATCATATAAGTCAGTATAAACAATATTAAAGTAGCACCTGCAATAATCCTGTAATTGATCGTGTAGTAATCTTCTAATTTGTAACCCGAATCTGAGTCCGTCAATTTTAGTTTCATTTTCGTGACTTTAGCTCGATTGCTTGTGAAGCTTGTCCATACAGCCGGACACGGTACAGTGCTTGCACTTGAAAATGTACCCTGCTCCCCTCCTTTGATTTCGACCAAGTAGTCTGTATTCAAATCTACAGTTACTTTTGAGGGGATTGATTTAAGCATTTCTGTTTTGGTCTCGTCGCATTGCTCAAATTCACTAGTATCATACAATGATAAAATATTGTTTCGACCCGAATGTGTGTTCCATTTATAGGTTAGGGTTGCAATCTGTGAGCTTTGGCTCTCTCGTTCAAAAACACCGGCTTCTACAGAAAATTCTAGGTCTGCGTTGTCATCTAGCTGCTCAAATTTTAATTGAAGTCGGTTGGTTGTGATGCTGAAGTCGAGGTAATCTGTCGCCTTGTTTCCTTCGTTACCCTCTACTTGTAACTCCGTATAACCTGCAATTCGGTGTTAAGAAATCGATGGTGAAGAATGAACTTGAATTATGACACTATCCAAGAAAATCCCTAAAACTGTGATAATATCTTCTAATTCTCACTGTTTGAAGTATCTTCTAGCTGACATTATTTACACTCACCGTTTGTCGACGAAATCAATGTCAGGAGTGTAGTCCAGATAGTCAAGTGTTGGAACCGTTTTGGTCCCGTCAACATGCTGGTTATTCTAAACTTCTAAAGATTAAAGCAAAAGTATCTTTTGAATTCGAATGTGATGTGAATTAACAAATTGCTGTTAATTTATCGATCTTAAACGTCAACGCGCTATAAAACAGAAATTTTTATCGGGATCGATGGATCGTACTCATAAAAGCTGTGCAGTGAATTCCTAACGACATACAAGTAGAAGTAGAACAGTCAACAAATAACTCAATAATAAGCATTAAGCAAGCATTAATCTGAAACAAAGAGACAGTTGTTTGAAACAACGTTTACCATGCAAGTTAACAAAAAGTACTGCTATATAAGTTAACACGAAGTTAGTTACACTACCAACACAAAATAAAACTACAACACAAACCACAAACTTCTCCAACCCCGGTGGAGTACTCAGTACACGTGACATATGTAACACGTGACGAATGTAATCCAGGGTAATATAATATCCTTAATGAGAGCTTGAGTAACGTCTCAATATTTCACTCCCACATTCCACTTAGAATGGTCCTGTGATTTATCGTGCAGTAATACTTCTAATTAGTGCTAATAGCACTATCAAGCAGTGTACGTGTAATGTATATTTTATAGTGCACGTGTGATTGTTCTTCTTAACTTCTCAGGATTTCTTAATGTATTGCAAGGCATCTGAAGAAATGGTCGAGGTAAACCAATCCACAGCGGTTTGTATATATTATTATGATAACGTCTCAACCGTCAGTTTCAGAGGTTTCATTAGTAGCTGACGGGTTACTATAGTAACACATGTGTTACCATTACAGCAAGTTATTGGAATCATTCCAAATATCCTAGTAAGGTGACTACAATGCAGCTCGATGGTGTAACAAAACAACCGCAATTTCTGACACATCCTCAATCTCGACTGAAGCTCTAAAGTTTAAGTCAAAGTGGTAAAGCACTCGTCAGTTTAGTACTTGCCAATAAAGCAATAAGATTTGTATTTTTCAAAAACTTTGAATAAGTTGTAATATATCATGAGAACCTGCGCACGATTGAGAGGACATTGGCTAGTTGCCAACAACTTTAATAACAATATTTCTTGCTATACCATATTATTTGCTTCTAGCACTGCTGATACTGGTACCGAGAGATACCACCAAGCAATCACCTGAAGCATATCTCCCGTTCTCTACAGCGACAAGAGCCTTCAAACTTTCAAACTCCGGGAAGGATAGTCTGTTTAAAGACTCTACAGCAAATATTTTGTTCAAAACTCAGTATTCAGATTCAATATACCGATTTGCATGGCTCTTGGAAAGTTAGAATTTCAAGATATTTTTAGATTGGATAGGCTCCCCATACTTTTCCCTTTCTAAACTAGATCTCCCACCTTTTCTATGTGTTCTTCTTATATATGTTATAATATGGGATATTATAATATGTACATTTTATAATATATTATTATTACAACTCCATAATACCCCTTTACTTGATATTTTGTATTTGAAACAAGGAAAACGCCACTTTTAGACACGAAGATGGAAAAAACTCTCCGGAATGAATTATTCCTTTAATTCTGTAACACCCTCATTAGCGCCGTGACTCGAGCCGTGACAACTCTCACAATGGGTCACGAACTGCTAAACAGACTGTGAGAACAGAATGCCAAGGACACGGATTTTGGTGTTTCACGTCTTTTGAAAAGCGTGTAGTTTTCGCAAATCCTTCTCACAACCCCTAAACACACTACATGACAACTCACATGAATGACGTGAAAACTTTCCTGACCTCTAAACATACTACTTGACTCAAGTCGTGAGAGTTGTCACGGCTCGAGTCTGATTCGACATAATATATGTAACTATTTACAGCTTTGAAACTAACTTTATCGTATTATTATATTGTACGGATAAATTCCATGATATTTAAAATAAAGTCTTGAAAGGTAAAATTATTTTTGAAGTTTATTGACTTCTATTTTTGTGATACTTGTATCGCTCAGTTATCAATAATACTTAGGAAATTGGGAGATCAGATAGGCCATACCAATTCCAACAATTTCTCTTAAAAAATCATCCCAGTAGTAACTAGAAGAACAATAATGTCTCCTGAAAACATGCTGCCTGCTGAACTATCTTTGCTGTGATCGTTATTGTCGCTGGTCTTATTTACATGTTTCTCTATCATTTCTGAAAGGGCCTCAAGATTTGATTCTTTTGGGGGCATGTACAGCTTTTTCTTCATTAATGTACCATAAATTTCGACCTCACAAAGAACCAAGTAATTGTTGGGTTGATCTATCCTGATATGGTTTGCAATCGGCTGATGGTTACATTCGATCGTGTACTCGTTTTTTCCATATTGGTAGTGTACCTTGCCACACTCAACCTGAATTTTCTCTATAAGAACGGCTGTAACCGTAGCTCCACCAATCCTTTCTTGGCAGCACTCTTTTTGGTTGTAGATAACCACTTTTTCAATTTTGTACGTGTCTCCAAGATCAACTTTCCACCAGCTTTCTTGGATCGTGGCTGTATGGCTACAAGATCCCTTTTTCCCATTTTTGTTACCGTCAATTGCTAGATTTGCTGTTTCACCATTAGGAAGAAAAGAACTTTGGGAGGCCTTCATACTGTCATGGTTTAAAAGCACCCCTATTACAACTACATCAATAAACCACAAAATATCAGCATCTGTTCTGTCCGTAACAGAAACCCAGAATGACTCTTCATCTTTGACTCCTCCCGCAAATAAGTATTTGTTTTTGTGTCTACCATGGGATTTCATTATTTTGTAACCGACAGGAATACCTTCTTCTGAAATTTCGTCCTCAATCATCCAGCACTCATCAACTTCCTCATGATCAGGGGTATCGAGTACAAAAGCCCTGGCATCGCCCTCCGAATCTTGGGTGCTATTGTCTACTACCAACATTCTCCCCGCATTACTTCCATCCGCAACCTCTATCTTGTAACAGATTTTTCCGTTGTACTCAGTTTGAGAAATAATCCATCGTTGTCCCCGATCAGTGGAACCATTGCTAAATTCTGTGTGTACCTGGCAGAATTATGAATGAGATCGGCCGGTCGATTCCTAATCCAGGAATGAGAATGTTTTTTGAAATATGGGAGGGAGCTTTTTTGCTAATTATTAAAAACAAAGTCAATCAGTTTTACCCAAAAATTCTTTCCATTCTTCTGATCAGAAGTTGAAGTGAGCGTGTACCATGCTGCAGGGCCGTCAACTTTTTTTATTTGATAGTACATCCCAGAAACCGGCGTGAAAGCTGGTGATAGTTGGAGTTGAGGAAAATACACAACCCCTACCGTAAATCTGTAGGTTGGCGGGCAATGCGATCACTTGAACATGCTGATAATTTTGTCTTTTTTATCAAGTTAACAGCTAAGTATGTTAATTTTTTAAATAAATCCAATTTTAGAGATTTTTCAAAAGGCCGCCAGGCATTTAAATCTAACGATGTATTTTTGAAAGCTGATTCCATATAAAATGTTCCACTGTTGAGCTTATCAACAAAAAACTGTTCCGATCACGTGACATGACCATATAATGAATTTGGTCTAATATCTCGTTATGGTTAGGGTTTTAGCTTATGCTTCAGTTAGGGACTGGGTTAGAATTAGGGTTGGGGTTAGAGTAGAAGGTTACAGTTTCAATAGTCCCTCAGGGCCATTCAGAGAACGTGTTTAAATAAGTCACGTGATGGTCGAGTGTAGAGTTATGAATCATCATTCCTCAAATTCTGCCCTGGTGAGTTATCGGCGAAAAACATTTCTGATCAACGGACATGGCCATTTAAGGAAGTATGTCAATTGTCAAGTTTGTCGTTAGGGTTAGGGTTGTAACTGATGCTGAGATGCTTGAGTTAGGGATTTAGTTTGGGTTAGGGTTGGGGTCAAAGTAAACGGTTGGTGTTTTGAATTATTCTCCAGAGCCATCCAGAGAAAGTTTTGAACGTAATCCAAATGGCGTTATAGTCCAATATTGTAGAGTGATTTATCATAATCTGTTAACAGCATCTTAAGGGGAGATACACCAAAAACGTTTTTGCTCCGAACATCGATTTTATTTTATATTATGGTTAAATAGAGAAAAAGAATAAGATTGCACACCTTCAAAATTTTCTAAAAATATTCCCTCATCGAGAAAAAAAATATTTTTCTTTTTCGAAAGTTTTTAAAATTTGGAGAAGTCTGTCACTGTAATACCGATAGTTCGGCCATTTTAAAATTTTTTGGCTGATTTTTTTAATGAACATTACTTACAATCCGTACAAGAAGGCACTGAAAGGATTATATAAGTGAACGATAAATGACGAAATTACAGACCAAACAAGGTCGAAAAAATAAAAATTGAAATTTTTCCCACTTCTAAAGTTGTACATTTCACCAATCACCCGAGTCAGCAGATATCGCTTCACAAATTCTTGTGAGTGTAGCTGATGATCATATCAAACTTTTTGGAGTAGGATTTCTCTCAGATTTGAGTTTTAAGCTATGCAATGTGTCCTCAAACGACTTAGTAAAATTCATCGTAAAAAAGGGCAAAAAAGGCAGATTTAAGGCTTAAAATGCCTATAACTCAAAAAGTATCAGTTTTTTTTTTAATAATTTTTACAGGATCGTAATCAGCTTGGTAAGACGAATCTTTTAGTACCAAAAAGGTGCTTTTAGAAGACAAATTGTCTTAAATAATTTTCTAGCTCGAACACAAGGGTCCCCCCCCTTGTATAAATTTTGTACAAATTGTACACATTTTTTTACAAATTTTGTGTCTTTAAATATTATAAATGTCGTACTAAATAATTTTTACAGAATTGTAATCAGCTTGGTAAGACGAAATTTTCGAAAAAGAAAAATATTTTTTTTCTCGATGAGGGAATATTTTTAGAAAATTTTGAAGGTGTGCAATCTTATTCTTTTTGTCTATTTAACCATAATATAAAATAAAATCGATGTTCGGAGCAAAAACGTTTTTGGTGTATCTCCCCTTAAAGATCTTGTCCTCGTCTTTCATAGAACATCATA